GGGGAGCGAGAGAGAGAGAGAGCGAGAGCGAGAGAGAGACAAAGAGAGGGAGAGAGAGAGCGAGAGCGAGAGAATGACTCAGCAAAACGGTAAGCCAGTCAGTAAGTAAGCTTGTCGGTGCTGCCCGATTCAAGACAATCTCAAACAGCCGGAAATCCCGAAACTCTGCAACGCCGATGCCAGGAGCCACCCTAGCTACTACACTGCAAGGAGTGTGGTCGTATGGTGATACTGAAGTTCTAGCAGAAGGAGCCTCAACATGTTAGCCAAAAACTCACTCAAGGAGGCCACTCATTGATGGAACGCCATGTGCAACTGCTATTTCTTTTGACCCAGCCCCGAGCCCTAGATCCCATGGCTTCTATCTAAACCTCTGCATGCAATGTTCTCTCTCAATGCAGGGCAAGGCTCCAGCGACCAATCAAAGACTTGCAGTTGATCTATGTCGTAGTGTCCCAGCACCTAGATGAATGTTCCAGGGCTACCTGGTCTGTAGTTATTTGTTCTGAGGCATTCAAAAGATGAATATGGTGACCCGGCGACCCATCAATACATGCCTCGGTCTTGCATCGCACTTCGATTCTAGCATTGACTGCCTTGGTGTTTCGGATTTTGGATCATCTCAGTCTTGCAAATGTTGGGATGATTTTGAGTGGGGTCAGGCGCAGTCGCATCTTGGGGCAGTCTGTGTTTCAGGCAGGGTTGGGGTGTAGAGCTGCGGTAGGCAGCAGCGTGTCAGGTGGCTGATGAGTGTCTCTTGGGTCAACACTGGCGTGCTAGCTTTGCATTGTAATTAGGTTGCAAGCACTCTTGGTCTATAGCTCAGGGTGCCCAGTACGAGCAAGGATTCCCAGATTGCTCATAATATTGGCAACATCAGACTGCACTGCAAACACCACAAGAGCAAAAGGCCGAGAATTTGGGAACACTGTGTGACATAATGCAGCCCATGCGCACCTACAAATGTTGTTTGGTGCTGGTTATGGGTGTAGCCGGTTTAGCTATAGCAATGACCTGGCAATGACCGATTGGATCGAATACTCTCGACGAAACAACTTGCAAGATCCACCTTCTTGGTGCTCGTGCAGTTTAGGGCTTTAAAACTAAACACACTGTAAAGGCTTGGTGGTGAACCCCTACAGCCCGTCCGTTTGAAACCTTTGTTAACCTGTTCAGTACCACGCCAAAACCTGATATAGCGCACGAGCCACAGCGAACACTAAAGGCATGAGCGGGGATGAGACAGGAATGTCACAACGCGGGCTACATGTCCTTAGAGACGTTCAGGGCAGGAGTCCCACATACAAGTGGACCGTTCCGTCTAGCTGGCATGGGAATCTGTCCAACAAAGGCAGCCCGAGTGTCCTGTAAACCGTCTAGAGTCTAGAAGTTTTCTTAAAAACAAGGTTCGCAGGTCTTATTTCATGCAGCCAGGCTTCCGAGCACGCCTGAGAATTGGCTTGGCGGTGTTAAGTTTTGGGAGTTCGTTTTTTCTCGTGGTTGCGGGGGGTTGAAGACGATGATTCAAGAGTTGGACATAGCCCTAGACTCTAGACGTAAGCTCTCTGCTCGTTGCAAAGTCAGAGTTTTAGAGCAAGTCGACGTGTAGGAAACGTGCACGCCGAAATACGCCGAACGCAGAAAACAGCTCTCCATTCATTCCTTGCCACGAATACATCAGAATATACACTGCTATAATATGCTATACATAAGCGTCACTGTTGTTTAGTATACTCTTATTCTCATCTGTTAAAGTACGGAAAACAACATGTCCGGGACCCCCTGGCAAAAATGATTATGTCGCAACGGGCACGCAGGATCGACCGCTTTGCTATCAGTGTTGAATCATTGCATGAAGGCCGATACTGAGCAAACGACGCAACCCGAAGAGCCCGGCCATTCCCAACTCCATAAGCATGCAGTGCGGTAGAACGTAAAGCAGGGAAAAGCCGTCCAACAGCGCTGTCACAACAAATCTCTAACACTCGCAACCCTTAAGCCCGAATCCACGCGCTGCACTTCTCAAGAGCTGTCTGTTGGATCTCCTATAGTCCAACGCTTCTGGTCCTTCACCAGTTTCGCATCCTACTCTCCGTCAGCCTTTGTGGTCCTGCTGCTCCAGCAGGCTTAGAGCTGTGGAGTTTGCGGCCGGCATTTTGTTTGCCTTTGGCTACCAGCACGGCTCATGCAGCCTGCGCAAAGCCTGCAGACCCCCGGCAAAGATTCCACGTGGCGACTCGCTAGGTCCGCTAGGTGCACCTCTCCGAGCTCCACAATCCAATTGGAAGCCGCGAGGTCAGCCGGAGCAAACCCCGCAAGCGGGGTTTGCGCCGCCTGGTGCTGTCACTGCGGTACTTCGCCAATGGCTCGCCCTGCACGAGCTTGCCGCTTGCTGTGGCGACTTGGGTTCCTCATTTTTTTCCAACGTCCAATGCCTACCGCCCAAAATTATGTGGAGTGGAATCGCCGCATGCATCTTGATAAGAACGGGAATTGGTCAGTGTTTCCCCGTGACGGCGATGCAGACTGTCTTCAAACATCGCCGGGGGGGTGTGCTGCCCAGCCGCAGGGAAGGAAGGATTGAACGAAGCGAATCAGACTCGCCGAGTATCCCGTCTTGCTGCTGAATCCTCCTTCGCTTAGCCCGCCAGTGCTCCTGTTGTTGCTTCCTTCCTTGGTTTCTTCCTTCCAAACAGAGTTGGGGGGCTGGGCCATTCGATGCCATTCGGTGTTTTCGCTCTTCGGCTACCAGGTCTACTTTTGAAAAGGGTCCTAGGATACCCAGTAACCTAAGAATAAAAAAGGCATCTCTTTTTGGTATTGGGTAACTTTATAAGGAACCTAGGACTACAAAAAAGGAATAAGGGTACTACTGGGCATCCTAGGGTCTGTAAGATCCGTAGACAGGTTAGGCCGCACATGGTTGAACAACATCACAACATAATGGGGTGTGCCAGCCTCAAAGCCCAGGGATGCAAGTATGTTTCCTTTGCACCTGGGGCACAAGGATGCCTCGATTACGACGGGTTTCCTCAACCTCATCACACGTTCCCAGCTGTCAACCAAACTACAAACACTAGGGCATGAAATTCCTTGGCCCAACGAACCAGAGACATCACGACTTGAATCTAAAACCCTAAGACCGTGGACTCGGGCATCTAAGGCCTAGATAAGCAGACAGGATCCGATTAGAAACGCACTTCGGGGCCGCACCTTCCTTCCAAATCTTCGTGCAAGCGTAGGGATATGGTTAGCCTAACCCTCTTGCACATGCGCCTTTTCCTGCGAATTGCATATTTTTCATCTGTGTCGGCGTGAGATTTCTTTTGTTTCTTTGCGGTTATCGCGTGTTTTGACAATCGGAGCAGCTTCCTGGCATTTCAACGCGATGTTCTCGCTTCCAGGAGGCACCTACCCGAGTATGCACAGGCACGGGGTCAGCAAAGCCGCCGCGGTGGTGCATCGACCGCAGGATCGCGGGGAAGAAGCAAGGGGAATCCGAATGAAGTAAAGTCTGCGCCCTGTTTTGCTTGAACTACTTGCAAAGATCAAGCTCGCAGGCGCGTGGAATCAAGGCCGATATCGTGGCCGTTGGGAAAGATCTGCGGGCCCACGACATCGGACAGTCTCAACAAGCGTGGAAGGCTACCCTCCAGAGAATCTACAGAATCTCAAATATCTAAAGGAAGCAAGGATTGAGTGAACCAGAACGACTTCGCGGAGTAAAGTTTGACTTAATTGGAAGACATTTTGCTCCTTGCAAGGCGCGGAGGGCCGCCCTCGAGTGCTGAAGCGGCAGGTCGACTTGAGCCAAAATGCAAATCCCCTCCTCCATCTCTGTATCTCGTCTTCTCACCAACCTCGAAACTCCAAAGTTGAACGTTTTCGTAATTTGAGACCCGGCGGCTGTCATGAACTGGGTGCCGATTCGGATCATGCTCGTATGCACACCTTGCAAAGAAGCAGCTTTTGTATAGACCGTTGCTGAATGTAGACTTTGTATTGATACCGTGTCCCTGCACGTGCGCGCAGGTTGCACTGTTGATTCTATTGCACACGAAACAATTTTGAGCTCTGTAAAACTTCAAGAGTCGCATGGAGGCCGCATTGTGACTAAGTCTCAGTACCACAAGAGTGTCTTGTCGCTCAAACTTCACGCGTCCCGGGATCCGGTTATACTCTCGCATCTGGGACAGCTACGGGCGAAGTGCAGTTTCTTCCGAGTATTGGGCGCAGGGCGAGAGATTGGAGCTCTTCGGCTCAGGTTTCAAGTGCCTGGAGGAGTTTTTGGAGGAGTTTTGGGGTGGTTGCGAAACCCGAGGCCCGAGACGGTGTCCAAGTGTACAAACCCACAAGAAGACATGAACAGCCCAGTGGGTTGCTTGCTCACGGATGGCGAAGGTTCAACTGAAAGTAGTGTTTGAGATGAGGTTGAACAGACTGAACAAGACACGAACGCTGCAGACCACCACTATTTGCGAACCTTCAAAAGGATGAATCCATGTCCCACGCCGAAAGCACAAGCTTGCAAACAAAGCACTGCGGCTGTCCTTCACCTTGGTTGCTGGATTTGCTGGAAGCTTTGGGCTTGGGGGCATAGCTTGAGTGCTTTGCCGTTTGATGAATCACTCCTCGGCCGATCCCTTACTCCAGACATGCCCCACACGTCCGTGCCTCAAGCTTGTGGCCGAGCATTGGGTTGTGGTTTGAAACATGAGCTCAAGGGTTGGACCACACCCCGTGGCTAAAGAAAAGGGGCACTGTTGAGACAACGACTCTTACGTGATTTACGGGCCATTAGAGTACATGTATTGGGCAAGAAATTCAAGCCAAGCCACAAAAGGTGTGCAATGGTGCTGAAGCGCCGCGGACAGGGCGTTGAATCGTGAACTAGTGCCCTCGCTGCAAATCGTCCCCACATCCAACTGCCCCAACCCAAGACCCAATAATCAACATATGTTGAACCCTCGAATTTCAACTCCCGCTTAGACGTTGGAAACCTAACATCTATCATCTAACATATCAAAACGTAAGGGAAAGATTGACGTCATCGCAGCCAAAGTCGCCGCTGCCATGGCGGCCAAGGAGGCCACGGCGAAGTTAATGAGGATGTTTTGAGCGATGTCCGTGAAGACAACCAACTTGCAATTCCAGGGGTGGGGATGGGTGGGGGCTTAGGGCACCGGGCTGTCGCAGTCTCTGCAGGCCGATCCAACGACTGCAAATCCAAGCAAGCTACACAGGTCCTCACTGACACAGTCGTCAGCAGACTCTGAACACTTGACACCTCAATTCTAAATCCGAACTACACCGAACAGTTGAAGGCAGCTGAGAAGCTCCCATCCAGCTGAATGATGAACGGCATTCCGAGCAGGCATCTGGGTACCTCAACAGCTCCGGACTGTCACACTGGTTAAACTTTACCAAACTCGGAAACAAACTGACTAAGCAAGGACTAGGCGGTTTGATCAAGCTGTATTCGTCGAGGCTTTGCTTCGACTCGGCCTATATGATCCTTGAGGCGGATAACTGGCGATGAGCTGACACTAACCATGAAGTAAGTGCCGGCTTATTCAATCAGTGGACTGATTGAACACACGAGCCAAGGAATGGTGGCTTTTCTCCAAGCGAGGCCACTGAATGCCAATGATAAGTCTAGTGGCTAGTCTGCTCATTCAGCGAAAAACTGAATGCCCAAGTTCATGCAGCAAGGTACCCCAGCAAATCGGATGCTTACTCTGAAAAACCAGGCGAAGAATGCTACTTGGTTCCGTGAACTGCTTCATGACACGGTTCAACTGGAAAACGAGCGTCGTGAAATCCAAATACTGCTCTTGTGACAACATCTGAACAGTAATCGCTTCTGGTGCATTCCCGTGCTGTGGAACTCAAACTGCCCTGCATCGAAAAATCTTCCAGAAGTGCTACCGTCCCTGTTTAGCTTAGTCGGTTGTGCACTTTCCCCATGCACTGCGGCATTCCCTGGAATGGCATGTGCTGAACTGTCTTCACGTTCTCAATACCGTACCTACTTTCACCAGTACAGACTTGCACCCACACGGCGTTACAACAGCTGGTGTTTCGAATTCCTTGATGTGCCAGTCAGCTAAACCTACAAGCATCTTGCCGATGCGTTGCTCCAAAAAACAACGAACCTCAGCTTGGCTCTCAAATTTCTCACACATATGATATCTCATGCACTTTCCCGACAGCACTCATTCTATCTCAATCCGCCGAACATCACTAAACCGACCAAAGCGTCTGGTTTCGTGAGAAACCGGGCGGGCAAGAACCACAAAGGAAGCCGGTGGAGCCTCTTGCAAGCTGGGATGCGGGTCTAGGACTCAGGATACTTAGGATCTGAGTGGTTGCGTCGATGCGAGTATAGCTCAGGTTGGGTGTGCGTCAGTTCTTTGCAGTCAGACTTTCCCGTAACGAGTGACGCACCTATGTTGGCTCCGGAGCCCAACGAAATTCTACAGTGAAGGCCCAAAGTGTCTGGCCAAACCCAGGAGGTAAAGCAGGGATCTGGCAGGGATCTGCGGACATAGTATTCTCAGTACCATCCAAGCCCAAGTTCTGGACGTGTAGATGTTGCCTACCTGGCGACGCTACTTCCCGAACTAATAAGAGCCTGGAAGATGGAATGGAAAGGCCTGCTCCCCAAAACTAAGGAGTCCAGAGTGCGGACACTTGGACTGTTTCTTATGCAGTCGCAAATGTACACGCAGTTGTTGCGGTTAACCACACTGCCCTGCAAGGCCTTCCGCGCATTCGTTTCCTGGAGGGGCGCTCACGGTTCGTTGCCGAAACTTGGCATAAGGCATAAGTGTGTCTTGGCTCACATTCGTTCGTACGGGAACTCAAACAACTGCCGGGGTTCTGTATCTGTGCCCATCTGCTCTTCCGTCATGTTAGCTTGTACTAGTCGCGCCGTGCGTTCATGCATGCATGCATTCCACTTGCACTCTGCCATGGCTTCACCAGGCCTGCACGCTGATCCTTCCGCCCTTCCATGCCCCTAGCAGTCTTACGCATGCCGAAGAGTTGCCCATGCACGGTGTCCTCCAAGGCAGACAGATTCACCTCCCAGGAAGAAAACCTGGCCAGGACTGCAAACACGAAGAGAGCACAGCGAGAACGAGAGAAAAACAGCGGGGGGGGAGGAATGCAGGTGTGTACATGAACATAAATGCCTCCTCCTCTCTCCACCACGATCCATATCATGATTGCTGAAGAAAGGAATGGAGCAAAAAGGACACTTGCAGGTTGCAAAAGCATCAGCAGGGATCAAAATGCATCAACATTCCTGAAGACTGAAAGTCTAGACATCAAGTGGGATAAAATCTCACCAAAATTCCCAACATCGGACCCATGGTCAGTCAGGTTTGTGGTTTTTTGGGAAGTTTGATGCCTTTTGATGCCGTCGCACTGCACGCTTCAGGAATTTTAGTGCAGCGACGAAACTTTCGTAGTTTCGAGCTTGGCCGCACTTTTGCCATATGGCCCAAGGCGAACAGCAAAAATAGCAGTGTTGCCAGTTGTTATTGAAGCGTGCCCGTGTTTGCGGATGCTTGAGAAGGTTGATGCAGAGACAAGGGGTCTGTTTAGAGCTCTAAGTCTTCATGAAGAAAGGCATTGCTAAACGTGCAGAACCCCGGCCCTTCCTCGAACAGAGATGAAGAACCTCTCGTATTTCATTTTCCTAAACAAACTACTCTATAGTTCCTCTGATACCGAAATGAAAGAACTCTCGTGGTTCTTCTTCTGGTGGGGAAGGCTCGCTTCCTTCCCTTTCAATATCGCATGACAAAGGATCTTTATTTTGCGGGCCAGCAGATAAGCTCAAAGGCTCTTTTGTTCTGTAAAGATAAATAAATAAATATATATATATATATATGGGTCTTCAACTTGAGTGCGTATACAAACTCTTCCGCTACTTGTGTTTCCTGCATCGGACGAAGTCGTAAATCTAGCAAAGACCAACTTTGCTCAGGATATCCTGGAATTGTTGCCTTGTTTTCTTTCCACCTGTGCCATGAGGCTATGAGGAGAAGAAATGCTATTTCATGTTGTATTGAAGCGTGACATGAGCTCTATAAAATCAAGCAGTTGTGGCGCGGGGCCGTGTTTGTTCGAACCAAGATTTCTTCTGCCTGGATTATGAGACAAGTCAAGAAACGAACGAGTATCAAGCTATCTGAATGAAGCTGCTTCCACATCTCTTATGACATGAACAAAAGCTTTAAGTTGCACGATAGGCACAGCTCTTGTATTCTTGCTGCTCGCACCAGTAGGTGTGAAAACTTTGTGTTTCTTTCTCACAGAAAGAGTTATCTTCTTTCTTATGGTATGATGAGAAGAGCAGCTGTCGATTTGCATTGGGGGCAGAGCTCTTTTCCCTCTAGAGAACACAGGTCATCCAGAAGCAACGGAGCTTTCTTGTGTCTTTTCTAGTTGAGAGTGGCCGACTTTGCAAATGTCCAGAAACAATCGGTATGGCAAACCAAATCCGTTTTGGGTCTTGAATGCTCTTCACAAGTAACACAGTACGTTTAATCAGTAGTGGTAAGTAACGCAGAGACAGCAGGGTGAATACCTTCTTCTATACCTGGGTGACAACAAACAAGGCAAAGACGGTGGGAGAACAGTCGGCAAGAAAGCTAGTTTGGATCATGGGGCGGGTCTGTGACTGTGTACGTTTAAATTTACACCCACATCTGAACCCAAATCCTCAGGACCCATCACAAATTATTTGGCAATGGGAAGTGTGAGTTGTCGACGGCCATCCCCTTCGGTCGCCACCAACCGACCGAGTGACTGACATGTCTTGCTGCCAACATAACTCTGCAGTCGGCAAGCAGAAAATTTAGCGTGTTGAACTAGCTGGAGTTACATGAGCCACTGAGCTACAATACTCCGAGGATATCATTTAAGTGTAGTCGTAAAGGAGGTTTGAGTGTGCTTATAGTTATAGGTTATGAAAGGTTCACCTATTTTTGTCGAATGCTCACACTTCGCTTGAACTACACTGCTTTGCTTTTGAATGCAACGCCTTGCTTGTAAAACTTCCGCTATAATTCACTCAGTTTAGATGAGCCTGAGGCAGCTGGAACAAGTACTAGATCGAGAAATCCTAAGACTGTACCTAGTACTGTTTTTGTTTAGTTGCGCCTTCAGAGATTCGAGGGGCGCTGTTGGGAGGGTTGAAAAGGGTTTAGATATGTCAAAGACCCAAAAGAAACAAAGACATCAACACCAGAAATAAGAGCAGACAGGGTTTGGGTGTCTGTCGAGCTCCCCGAGTCTAGCGACCAATGTAGTAAAACTGGCGACTTACCATGTAGCATTTGCATATCAGATCTATATACGCATATATACATATATACAACATACAAACATCTCTCTCTCTCTCTGTCTCTCTCTCTCTCTCTCTCTCTCTGCATATATATATACACACATACGCAGACATATATGTACACGTTTGTGTCTTTGACTTTCATGTTTTCTTCGTTTACTGGATCTTGGACACTGTGGGCGTGCACTTCATTGTGTTTTGGCCATGCGTAAGTATCTTCGTGCGAATGCACAAGCGTAGAATCGATCGCCTTTGCGATCAAGTGACTACCCTCGTCTGTATTCATATACACGTGAGCTCATGTATTTTGTGTAAGTTTGTCCACTTTCAAGCTGCAACATTCCACAAAGGTGAAGAATGCGTTTAAGCCCGTAAAGCCCGTCCCATGTTTTGGCGCCAGAAATCCAGACTCCAAGTTGATCCGACAGAGATGTTTGGATTTTGGGTTCCGCGCAAGCAGTGACAGGGTCGGTATTGCATCTTTTGGCGTGGAACCTACACCTCCCGAAGCTCTTTCAGGTGTTGATGACTCCTGCAATGTCCCATTGTCGTGTCTGTGGTATTATGGACCAACCGCAGACTGAGGAAATGGCATGTTCAGCTCTCTAGCCAATCGAAAGAGAGCACAGCATGCATCCGTGACGTGATTGCAATTCTCGAAGGCACTCTGTGCAAAGCTGCTCTGGCAGAGCAAAAAAATCTACAAAATATGCAGGATGACAAGACGTTGGCTCGTAGCTACCGCGAACGAAAACGATGCGACTCTCAAGCAAACTGAAACCCGAGACGTGGCCACTGTGCCGTGGATGCAGGCGATATGGACAAAAGCATATCACAGATATCACAGATCAAAGCCAAGCACGCAGTTCGAAAGGGCTCTCGCAAAGCTGCAGAAAACCAAGGAGAACCAATAGATATGCCGTCTTGCAGCAAGCTCCGGGGCACCGCAAGCGATTCAGTATCAGTAGCCGTCATCCCGACAAATTGTTGTCGGCCACTTCATGCATCTTCATGCACACTCGTGCTCGGTAGCAGGCTAGAAACCCTGATTGCCCCCGGCCCCGGCAGCCAACTCAAGAGCCCGCATCAATGCAGGCATTGCAAAGGTCACGTCCACACTCGTCTTGTTACCCTCAAACAAACTCCAAAGACACCCCACATTCGCCAACCTGGCATTTCGCTGCCAGAGTTTCGCCCGTCTGGAAGAACCCGACCCTTGATCGACAGCTTTTTTTAAGGGGCCCGGCCTTGAGGTTGTGGAGTTTAGGAATTCGGGATACGGGTCGACTGTCTGTGTATCTCTGCGTGGTGCGAAGTTTGGGCTGCAGAGTCTGGGGTTTAGTTTGCTGTCTTCGGATCGACTGATTCGAGGTCTGGGATCTTGTGGTGTTTAGAACTCAACTTTTTTTTTACTGAGGCCGCAATTTAGGTTGCTGATCCTTGGCTTTGAGGGCGCTCAACCTTTCTTGACTGGGGAGACCTTACGAAATCCAGGCCCTAATTGTGTGCCGGCTTAAATTAATGATGGATGGCCTGGCGACAAGTGAAGGCTTAGGGCTCACAGGTTTCTGGTTGAGGGGTTCGATGGCCAGCGGATGATGTAAACGTAGTCTTCATTCGCTAAGTGCTTTCGGAGCTTAACACTTTCAGCAACATCAGTGCTTAGTGCGGTTTCTTGGACGTTGTGGAATGGCTAGGTGCACATCTGACAAGAATTTGCTTCAAGCTCGTGCCGGTTCCAGTAGCACGTATTGCTCCATCAAAAGGAAAACCCAAACGCACATGCGTCTCTTCACGGGACGATTGTGGAGCCCGCAAGTCTACACTAGGGGCAACCTGGTAGAGGACTGGCATGGGCTTCCAAGCCTTCAAGCTTGGAATGCAAGCTTTCATCCGAACAGGAACCCGAAGCTTGATATAGCCAGTCGAAGGACTAAAGTTCTTAAGCGCGCGCTGGCCAATAGGCGCGATGCATCCGAGCAACTCCGCAACAGGCTGTCGATGTGCACCAGTGCCTTGCATGGTGATACGATAAGATAATAACCTTGTCCAAACTTCGGAACATGATCCAAAAGCAAGAGGTACTGGAGGGGCCCTGTCTGTTACACGTAGCCATTGGGGTTTCTTGCCGCGTTGCCTTCGGGCAACCTTCTTTACGTAACATAGCGGTAGATCATACAGCCGCAGCCCATCCGCAACAAAAAAGAACGCCGGCACGGCAACACTTAAGACTTAAGACTTGCACAAAAACTGTGGACGTTGATGTCGTCATCCGCTTGGAGTGCAAGTCCAAGCCTCAAACCTCGAGCCCCGGAAATCCCAACACTGCCTGAACGCCTGAACCCTCGCCGGGTTGCTGTCCAAGCCCCCCTGGCAGGTCAGTCCCTTATAGTTGCATCGCGCACAACTCTCCAGCTCCTCCTGTCGTTTCATCTTCTGGCCAGTACGTGTGTGGAGCCGAGACCTATGTAGACCTTCAGAACTGCCGCGAATCGGCGAGAGTTGACAATCGATGAGCAATGGCTACGCAAACGTGACGGATGTACGAGCCAACCATAAAAGCTTGCTGTACAGACCAGAGTGATCTCAAAACCCGAAAACACAACTTTCAAACCATCACCCCCAACGTCGTGGATGGACTCTTGCAGCCCGAAGGAAGTGGAATTTTCGAAGGCCCTTAGCTTTACCCCATCCCCCTCCAGGTCCTGGGTGCCGTTGCGCAAGCCCATGATTGCCTTTGTTACGCTTTTAGCAAGACTTCGGCGCAAAACCCAGACAAAGTGTCAACTAGCCTAAAGGTGTCGGAAATTTCATGTCCGGAGCTTTGAATTCACGCATCTGCTGTGTGACCTACGAGTCTTGTCAGGATGACATCACTGTAGTCACAATACTGGCCCACAACAAAGCCGTGAAGCTTGAAACCCAAACGCTGAGAATTTGAACCCCATGGGGATCTTGCAAGATCTCGCGATACAGATCATCGCACGTTGGATGCTGTGTGTTCAGACTGTTGTGCTGGGTGTGCTTCGCAGGATGCAGGCTCTCCAAACCAGCTCAGCCGACGTTCTTCTGACGAGAACGGGCTATTGGGGTCAGTCCTCGTAAGGCTGAAGGTCTAGTTGTGCAGCCGACTACAAACAAAAAACTGTCCAGAAGATTACTACTGAGCGCTTCGGGAGATGTCATGCTTTGGAGCTTGATTGACAGTTGTCAGCATTTTCAAGCGAGCCTACGTCTCGTTGCAAACGGGTCACATGGTAACCATCGATGCAGAAGCCTCAGCTTGCTTCGAAACCCTTAAACCCCCTGACAGAGGGCCTAATCAAAGCCCCATTCTTCATTTACAAAGCCAGCACCGTCTGGCTTCTGCGCGGATCCAATGAAAAATATGCCGAAGCACAACAGAGAGTGAAACTTCTCGCCCAAGCCCGCCCTGACCAACCAACCCATCCGTCAATGTATGCACCTGCCGATTAAAACCAAGGTGGCGGGTGATCCACACGGGCCTGTTTTTATCCACAAGCAGCTGTCCGGCGGTGTAAGGAAATGATGCATGTTGTATCATTGTATATGATACCCAAGAAGAAAACAGTGGCTTTCCTCCACACATGTGGTGCACCCACTTTCGGTGGAAAACGTGCTGTTGCTGGTGGAAATCATGCAGATGCTTCTCCTTCCAAAATTCTTCGCCAACGTCAGGGCATTAGGGAAACACGTGCTGTTGCTGGAACAACAAATACGGGCAGAAAGTCTGACTTTCGGCATGCTCACAGGGACAGAATCTGGAGCACTAGAAATATTACAAACAACAGGCCTTGGCAGGGGGCCCGAAGGTTGGCCCTGCTGCTGCTTTGGCGAAAATCGGATCCAAGTCGTGGCGTTGTTTTCGTAGTGGTAGTGCCGCATGAGCATAGAGTTCCTGTGGCATTTGCCCAGACATGTCCTGCCAGTTAGTCTTGGTCGGCAAACCTTATTGAACCTTTAGATCTAGAAGCTAGTTTGCACTAGTCTCGCCACTTTTCGCGGCGGATACTGCGCACAATTTTAGCAGTGTGCATAACTGACTGCTTCTTGGCCAAGGAGATAATTCGGACTCGACACTCGACCAAAATGCTTGTATTCTGGAAGTGTCATCCTTCCGCCCCAGAACACAAAAGTCTTGATTCATTTGTACCCCACCCAAAGCCTCACGACTTGCAGCCTAATTGCCTTATGAGGTTTTATGCGGTATCCCCATGTGCACGACGATGCGAAAGCACGTCGAAGCACGTCTGTGCTGGGGCTTGGTAGCATGACACTAGGCTTAGTTGGGTTTGCATGTCGTCAGACAGCTGGCTGCCGAGCTTGACTTCGACACCCCCATGTGCATGTCGCTGCCTTATGACCTGTTGTGCGGTATCCCCGTGATCACGCCTGCGCGACACGACTTTACACAAGGCGGGACGACTTAACCCGAGCACTCGTACACAAACACACACACACACACACACACACATACATCCACGCAGAAAAACAAACAGAAAGGCTGGCTGGCTGGCTGGCTGGCAGGCAGACAACAAACACACAAACAGATAGATAGCTAGGTAGGTAGGTAAGTAGATAGATTGCCACACGTGCACAGTACATGAACTTGTCGAGAGTTTAGTCATGCATACAGACATACATACATACATGCATGCATGCCTACCTGCAAAACTACGTACGCATGTGCGCGCACACACACACACACACACTTATAACATGCTTTGTTGACGACTTTTGGCACGACTTGTCTCACCGTGTTGGATAGAAAACAAACATATATGTAGCAGTTTCCTCGTGAACAATAGATGTCGTTTGCATCTGATTATCCGCTTGCGTTGTGTCGGGTTGTCGCCTGCAGAGCCTGGCCTCGAACCCAGGAAATCGGTTGCCATTAACGGACCCGACACCTGAGTCAGGTCTACACTATTTGGGACCTCTTGATTCGAGGCTGCTCCGGTTTGCCAGAGGCGAGTTTTCGCTCGGTCTGTGCCTGGCTTTTTGTTTGGCGGTCTAGCAACTGGGATTGAGGGTTCATTTCGAGGTACATACAAAGTTTTAAGACTCTTACACTCGTACAGGAGGTTTCCGGCTAAAGGTGTATTGTAGGGCTGTAGGGCATCCCGGCTGGGAAAGACGATAAAGCGTAGATTCAGGACGGACAAGTAAAATCACATCTCAAACATTCTCAAACCACGCAGATCAAAAGGCAGAAAGCCCAAACCAACTGCAAGGGGCAGTCTCCGACATCCACGGCTCCTTCCTTGCTGTCCCCGTTGGTTGGGCAGCTGTTGCGGCAGTCCTCATGGGGCTACCAGGTTTGCTGTTTAAGAGTAATGCCACGCAGTCACCGCGTTTTCACGCATGCAGCACGTTTTCGGTTTGATTCTAGCTTTAGGCCTCAGGATTAACCCTTTCACCTCGCGCATGGCAGTCGGGGCAGGGCTTCAGTGATTCAGGGATTGCAGCTGGCGCTTATGGTCAGACTGTGGCTTATATAAACAGAAAGTTAGCCAAGAAGTGGCTTGACGAAGCAACAAGATGCGCGCGCAGCCAGGGTAGATTTAAATGAACCCCAACCCGCTACGTTGGGTGCTTGCTGGCCTTCAGAGACTGCGACAACAGTTCGGAGATTACATGCAACGTTTGCCTGCCAAAACTGATGTATACATACGTATCCATATACACATACGTGTATACATACTGTGCCGAAGCAAATACACAACCTACAAACATCAATAGTTGTGTACATGTATATGTATATATACACACACACACACTTATATGCTTCTATAGTTGGCCGATGTACATGTCACTAGCTTTTCTTTTTAAGGGAACAACTATGAGTATAGATGTTGGCAGACTGTGCATGTAGTGAGTTAAGTCATCAAGTATACGCTCGCATGCACGTCTTTGTTCGTGCAAACAGCGTGGCACAAGCCCGCTTCTTCTACGATAGGCGTGAAGGTATTAGGTCAGTGATGATGCGAGGTATCGGGGGGTTCAGCTGTGCCATGCCTTCCCAGTCTTCGGGCTGACATGGATTTTCAACATCATAAGGGGTTCTGGAGATGTCGTGTAATTAAGCAAATATGAACTTAGCCGCGCCTCATCAAGGCATGTTACTCATATGACATATCAGTTCGACACCCGAACCGCAACTTCACGTTGAAACCAGAACTGCACGTTCGCACCTTCAACTACAACAATCCCAAGAATGTTTAGAATCCTCAGCCCGTTTAAGTTCCATATCCTTGACAGACCTTCAACCCTGCGACCATCCTGGTCTCCATCATTAGGCTTGTAGTAACCACCACGGCAAGGGATGCACCCTGCGACCTGAATTTGGCGGTCTAAAGTAGCAGTTGCATGGACTGGCGCTTGTTGAGGCCTTAGTGGGTTCCTGGGTTGTGCCGGGCCTGGGAATCAGCTCTTAATTCGGAGCAACTTTTGGAAATGTAGGGCAGATGAATAACCCATCGATAAGGGCTGGCAAAGGGTGCCAGTCTCAAGTTCAGGATGTAGGGCAAAAGACTGGGTCGTGCTGGGGCTGTCCCGTGCACATCGTGGCTTTGCTCGTTGGACAGAATACCCGCCCATGCTCTTTCAACAACCAATGTGAAGTGATCTTTTCGCTCAGCTGCGCACCCTCCCTCAAGGCCCTGAAGGGGCGCATCATGAATCCGCGGGCAGCCACGGAGTGTAGGAGAAAGCTCTGCCCTTGCGGGTTCGTTCTACATCCAAGAGTGGAAATGTCACGACGCGAACCTTGGTTTGTCTACGAATCAAGACTAACCTGACAACTGCCGGACGTGATTTGACGCACAGCCGCTTTGCCAGGAAGCTCGCAGCAGCTAGGGCATCGTCTGAATTAGCTCTGGGATCAATTACACCTGCAAAACCAGGTGTTCGTGCGGTGTTGCTGTGCTGTGGTGCCTGTGGCTGGGACGAAGCCAAGAAACTTGCTCTCTGAAAAAACCCGCGCTGCAAATGCAGTCGGCTTCGCTGCTGCCGCCGACATCGGCCGTTGCCGTCAAAGTGTTGTCCTCGGACACTTACCAAGCCAAGTCGGCGCAGGCATCTGTAGGCCACTCGCAAACTTCTTACCCCCAAAACTGTCTAAACAATCAGTACATCAAAGCAGTGAATCTGCACAGAAAAGCTTTCGGGATTGGGTCTTCTGGAGTCTCAACGTCAGACACCTCGAGGAATAACACTCCTGAGTTCAGGTCTAGACTGGGTCTAGACCATGGGACCCAAGGTCAATTTTGGACAGGAGGGGGGAACAGGAACATGGGCGGGGAACACAGCACGTGAGTCCTCTACTTAAACCGTTAGCTGCCTGACGATGTTTGATACAGGCATCGGCTTGATACGAGGACCGACTCCGGCTTCCAATCCTCACACTAATCGTGCCATCATGATGATGACGACGGCGGCGAGTGGCTTCATCATACCATGGTGCGTGTGTTTTGCTACTTATGTGTTATGAGATCTGAGACTTGAGCCTGGGGCCACGATTGTAGTGAATGTGGCTGATGCCTCGCAAACGCATGTAACGGACCCTCGTATATAACTGACGGATACAGTAGCCAGAGGTCGGCTGAATGCCAAAGTCGACTATGCGTATCAAAGGGCATCCCCGTTCGTATGATCATCTGATCCATAATCTATGCGATGGAGCCGGAAAACGTCCAAAACTGTGACCTGCAATGGTACTTCTGAAGAGCAGTCGTGCCTACTGTAGTCTCCTCTGCACCTCTCTATGCCCTGCATCAAACAACGCCAGCTTTGCCAGCGAGGCTCGGGGCAAGGGAACATTGCCCCCCCAGCTGAGATGCCTGGGCAGTAGTGGTCGCCTCAGATGATGTCTGTGTTTCGGAGCTCTGGGTTTGGCCTGGAAAAGCTTTCTGGGGCTGATTACTGGTCAACCGGTTGTCCAGTCAGATCCGGTTTCGTGAATTCAACTTCTCAGGCTTCATAAAGGCGTAAGGTTCGGACATGTTCGGACGGTACAAGCCTAAGGGACCCATTCACACAGCTATTGACTGAGCATTGAGGAGACTTGGTCCAGGCATCATGATGCCAGCTCTTGGATTGAAGCTCCTGTGCCTTCCAGGGTTTGCAGCTTTCGTTCGTTGGAATGCGGTTGCTGTTGTAGTCTTTGTAGGTCCCAGTCGGGCAAGCACTCAAACTTGCCAAGTGGAACCCGAAACGTGAAGCTGGCTGCTGCTGGAAGGTACGTTGGCACTGTGAGCAGCCTCCGTCTGCTGCGAAGCGGCCTGCCTCCAGACAAGCGGGCTTGGGATGGATCCCGTGCACTCAATGTATCGTGGGGCGATGGTGCAGAATGACAGGCACCGACCTCTCGTCCGCAATAGTTGGGAAGAAGCTCTCCAACCCTGGATGGTGTGTGGTGGTTGAGAAACCCTCCAACCCTCTCCCTGCGGTGATTTATGGTGCGCGAACTGCAGCATGCCAGAGAGAAGCGTTCACCTCCTCGCCAGCTGAATTTTTACCGACCTGCCTAGCTACTGTATACCGCCTCCATGTATGCACGCGCATGCGCGCGCACACATACACAAACACAAATGCAGAGAAACACATGTAAACCAATGCGCGACAACGTGCGAGGGCACATTGCATGCGCCTACTTCATAAGAACTACGAACTAACCCGACACCCAACCCCTCGGCTGCCTCACACTGACAAAGGCCCTCTGAAACCGCTCCCGTCTCCGCCGTGGACATCCACTGCGGACACTTCCTCGAGCTCGAGGCTTGAGGAGGTTTGCTTTATATAATTAGTGCCCAGAGTCTGGGTGCATGGGTTTGAATATCTGGCCACGGGTTCAAGATGCGAAACCCAGGTCCAGGGTAGACCCTAAATCCGGCGCAGGGCGTGTGTGCTCAAGTAGGCTCAAGTCAGTGCTTCATGCGAGAATTAGCATGACGGCGAACTCAAGAATCCTTCGAACCACCCAAACCTCCGAACCCGAGCCCAGGGCTCAAATCGTTGCTTCGGGTCGAGGCTCGTACACAGCACGTTGCCAACGGTCGCCTGCACAATGTGTGTACGTGAGCTCAGGCATCCAGGCTCGGGATTTTTTTTTTGGGGGGGGGCGGGGGCAGATGTGTGACTTTGGAACTTCGGTATTGCATTCCCAGCCTTTGAATGATTCAAGCAGGCTACATTATGCATCAAGCACGCGTGTCTTGAACCGCTGGTTTGAACTTTTTTGGCTTTCGACTCTTGCAATTCGCTCAAGCCAGGCAAAGATCTGACAATGTCGGCGTAAGACTGACTGAACAACTAGCAGCTAGCACCACCACAGAGCGGGAATCCTTGATTCATGACCAACAGACAGAACCATTGATTTTGGGCTCACAGCCGTTCTAAAAAGAGAAGTGTCAACAATGCCAAGCGCGAGATCCCGAAATCCAGCAGCTGCATTATACACCAAGCCCGGAAGCATGAACTATGAAGCCGCGCTTAATCCTAAATTCAGAAACGCAAAACATGCGTTCGTAACTCAGAGCCTGCCTTGTACTCGCCTTCTGCACATGGTTCACCTCGCCGAGCTGCGGCTCAAAACAGCCGATTTTCGAGGTTAAGGCTAGGTATCTACCTTTCTGCCAGCTCGGAGTTGACGGAGATGTGGGGCTGCCGGGTGCAGGCTTCAGCATGATTTGGGCGCGAAGGTGTGCTTCAAGCTGTTGTGGCTACTGTGGCAAGAGGAAAGACGGCGTGCCCAGCAGGGCGTCGACTTCTGTCGCTGTGGCGGGCACCGAACTCCCTCTCGTTCTACCATATAGGGATTTGCGCGCGGTGATGCATACCTTTCCTCCATCCGGCTTGTGCACTCCCCGGATCTGACCTCCCTCAGCACATGACTGATGACGCATACCTAAAGCTGGGCACACCATGGGAGCAGTCGTCGTTGCTGCAGCACTGCGGCATTTTGTACTATACTGGTAAGCTATAACTACTGCAGCCGCCGTGTGGCATACGAAGGCGCGGATCCGGTCACCTGGTTAGCTTGGATTCTTCTTGCCGAAAACATTGAAGCAAAAGCATTGCTCTTCAGGCCTGTTCAGTTAGAACAGAATGGAAAGGCTTTTTTTGGGTAGGCGGCAGGTGCCCGCATTTTCGAATTTTTGCGCTTGCGTGTTGCTGCTGGCATTCACCAAGCGTAAGCAGCTAATGTGCGAGTCGTGGTTGGACGGGGTTGGACTTGCCCGGCCCACAATGCATGTTGCACCACCAGCTGCTGGGTGCTTTTCCTGTTCGGCTCACTGCCTGCAGTTGCACTTGTCTCATGGCAGGATTAGCCAGGCATCTCTGCGCTTGGCCTTGTGGAAGGGCGCGCAGTGCGGCGAGCGGGGGGGTCGTGGGGAGGTTTGGGGAGGCCGGGGGGTGGGGACGGAGTCATATTGTATTTTTGCCCCACCCAACCGAAAGGGTCGCGCGCGGATTCCTTCAACTTTTCGCCGATTATTCCGTCAACCACTGACCGCGGATTCTGTCAACCCGGAAACGCGGATGCCTTCAACCTCAAAACCTGCTTCCTTCAACCTCAGAACGCAGATTCATTCAACCATGTCCAAGGAAATGATTCCTTCAACCCAAAGAACTGCTTCGTTCAACCCATACACAACCTGATTCTTTCAACCCCAGAACGCAGATTCACTCAACCCCCAGCACGCAGACGGGGGGGCGAAGTTGATGGAATCAGCACAGTATGCGTTGACGGAATCGGGCGATGGGGGTCGACAGAATCGGCAATATCCGGGTTGAGGGAAGCGGGCGATGGGGGTTGAAAGAAACGCACAATCTGAGTTGAGGGAAGCGGGGAACATGGTTGAAGGAAGCGGGGTTGAGAGAATCTTGGTTGACGGAACCGCGCGAAGTTGATGAAGAAGGCTTGCACCCAACCGAAAGTATATAGCATTTTTTTGCACACGCACACACACACACACACACACCGAAAGTATTAATTGTGTCTAGGAGGTCGGGCAAGGAAGAAAGGGAAGAAGAGAACCCCCCGCAGGACCATCATTCCCCGCAGGACCATCATTAGTATGAATTTTGTTATTTTGCTGGTGCATTTCAGCCTTGTCCTGGAAGAAATGAAAGAAAACATGCAATAGTACTGACCCGTGGGGGGCAGTGAATGTGTTGAAGCTCCTCTCTTTGATTATCTACGGCTCCTAGAATGGGGTCCGCAGTTGCTGTCAACTGGGGCTGTGGCAGATATCTCCTGACGCAACGAAGCCGTAGCCAGGACTGCACTCACAGCCGCTGCTACTGAGGACCTGTACACCTGAGGCGACGCTCTCCCTCGGCTTTGCAAGGCTCGGGTTCGGTCACAAAGCTTTGAGCTTTGGAGCAGTTTACCACTGTTCAGTTTGGGGTCTACAGCGCATTTGCCGCATGTGTAGTGCCTGTGATACAAGATGATGCACAGCTTTGGGGCTGTGAAGTAGCTCGTCCCACATAGGCGCCAGCGTTTGTCTTTAGGGCTGTAAGATTCGAGGACCCGTCGCCGCAACCACTGCTCCATGCAGCCTGGACCTCAAAAAATAGACCTCTACTGCTCCCAGTCCTGATAGCAGAACAGCTGATTCAACGCTAGATCTATGCTTCTTTGCTCAAACTGCTGTGCGCCAATGTCTTCCACGCGCTGATGCATTCCGCTTGGCTGCATTTGTGCACGTCGAACTGTCCTATGTCTCAACGACTTCCAAATGCTGGCGTCTACCACCCGATCGCTTGCGTGAACCAGGAGTGCCATGAAAGCGGAATCTGCATGTCTGCGTGCTACTGCCGCACCGGCGACTTCTTGAAAACCAGGCCTTGATGCTATGAACCAAAAGTTGTGCTTGGAGTCTGCTGTGTGCTGCACGGGCAACAAGATGGCGAGCACAGTGCACAGTGTAGATTCTCATAAGTCCGAAAACAGAAACCCGGAGCTACATTGCAGTTACATCCTTTTGCTGCATTCCACTTCAGAGGTGCCCGGAGGTACGGAGCGGTAGATGGGGCAAAGAATGGTCGCCTTCGCATTTGGAGAGATTTTACCAACGTTCAGGGGTTTAGTGTTTGCAGTTCAGGGCTCCCGTGTTTAAGGTTTGGTTTTGTAACTCTTTCTCCTGTTACGGCTTCGGCTTGCGGTGTAAGATGGAAACGACGGCCAGCCATGGCCCGTACTACAGTACCGGTTGCGAGGCTTGAGTACGCAAGATCAATCCAAAAACGCCACAGCCCAGAAATGCCTGATTAACACCGAACAGCACTCGAGACAAAGGTTGACACTGCTCTCGGAATGCAAAGTGCCAGTGTGCCTCAGAAAGCGTGGGCACAGACAGCCTCGTGCTCATTGAGGAATACATCCTCCGCACGCGGAGCCCGGGACAGAATGCAATTCGAATTGGACCTTTCTTTCTCTTCTACGTCCATGGGCAACTGGGACTGCCAAGCGTGACAAGCTCGAGGATGTTGCGTTGAGGGTCTGAGGCGTGCGTCCCTAAAAGGTTGGGTTCTCGGGACCTTCTGATTCTTCTGCGAAGAGATGAGATGTCTCCAGTCGTTCGGCTAGCGTCGGACGGTGAGGTGCAGGTCTTGATTTCCAATGTGGCCTGCCTGACGTGTTTGTAACAAGCTGGTGCCAATGTGAAGCGTGCTTATGTTGCACACCTCGACGATTGACGGGGGAATTAAGAGCCTTTTCTTGCATCAGGACTTGTGAGACAGTCTGTGTAACCTGTTTCCCGAAACCCAGAAACGAAACCAATGCGCAGAGGCGCGGATTGTCTGCCGTAGATTCGGCGATCCCTGCGGAAATGGCTTCCACCTTGACTTCATATGAGATGTTGACACACACACACGCACACACACACACACACCCACACACCCACACACCCACACACCCACACACCCACACACGCACACGCAAACACCCACACACCCACACACCCACGCACACGCACACACCCACACACCCACACACACACACATCAAGACGAGTCAGTTGAAACAACGCACAGCCATGAAACCATGCAGGCACAATTGTTGATGAAATCAAGGAGTCACACAGCAGGAAAAGCCAAGCTGCAAGCTAGGAGGCTACAAACCCCAGTTGTCAGAACGCGAGATAGCCGGAACACCACCAAACAAAACTCACTTTCTGTGCAGAGGGGGCCCCCTACCGATTTGCTAACAGAAGCAGTTGTTGGTTGCTGTCGTTACAACTGCAGTGACTTATCGTCAATTAATCACACTGCCGGACCCGTCTTTCACAGCTTCGTTTACCCGGCGACCTTGATTCGCCCTCTTCCTGCCTGTGAGGAGTGTTTCGGTCTTGGGGTCGATATTTGTCTTGGGTCCTCTGTCTATTGGCTTCCGTATTCAAGCATGACACAAACTCTCCTAGTGGCTACCAACATGTGCAGAAATACCCCTTAGTCGTCTCCTGCAGCGGCGCCGAGCACTTGCTCAAATTCGCGTGAGCAGCACCGACAAAAGAACACCATCCTACCGTTGGGGCTTAAATCCGGGGTGGAAAATGCATGTTCCGGGGTCCAACCCGCCCTCCAAAAAAACATTGCCGCGACATGTGCGATCCCATGTCGATTGACAATTGAAGCTGTGAGGCCTCCCTGCAGGGCAGCCGGCAGGGGGACCACGGCATCGACACACCATCTACACAAAATTCACGCACAGACAGACAAACAGGACCGAGCCCCAAATACACCATAGCCCAATTCAACTCAAGGAATCAAGCTTGAGAAATACTCACAGGAACAGATGACGAGTGACAAACTTGATTTCACGTGTCCGAGTACAACCCGACCTATCGCAACAAGAGGATCGCATTGAAAGCCATAGACTATACAACCCATGAGCCAACGAACTCGCTGATGCGGGCTCCATTGTCAACACGGCGGCCCAAAACGGCTGAAGAAAGGAACGAAAAGCCTTACAATTTTCTCGGCCTGATGAAAAAGCAGAAAGGAAAACACAGTTGTAAGGACAAGGAGAAGAAAGTGGCACGGATCGGAGACATGGCAACTGCACATCGAGCTCCTACGGTCCTACAACCCTATGAGACCGTTTAAAATGTGACGAAACCGCCCTCACGGAAATCCCTCAAATGATCAATTTGGCACTGTTATGTTGTCAATTGTCCGTGCCACGAACGGCTTGTGTCACGCATGATAGAGGTCTTCGCCAGCATGCAAAAGCATAAAGTTTATCTCTATGCACTCTCTATGCCGTCGCGCACACCGTCCGTATTTTGCCGGCAGTTAAGGGGCTGTGATTGCTGGAGAGTTCACGCGGTGGTTCAAACATGTCCAAACCTGTCCCGCCGAAGACCTCAGAGGAGGTAGTCTTTTCCAAAGACACATGCACTCTGCTGCGTACTGTCGGCCGCAAAAGTACACCGTTCCAAGCAGACGCGCCCATTTAGGAAGTCAGAGAAGATAAATGCACCCAAACACCATGGGACTTGGGTGGAAGAGTAAACGACAGAAGAGCTACTAAAGTAGTGCGATGTATTTGGATGACCATGTAGGTGCCCTAGGTGACGGCGGACATCGCATCTCAAAAATGCCGAGGTTCTTAGGCTTGTTTTAAAAATGACTTAACACGGCTATGAGGACTCGGCAAGAGGCCGGATTTTCCTGGCTTCATCGAATTTGTCGGGCTTTTCCGGATTTATCGGAGCATGGTCAGTGGTTCCACGCAGCGAGTATAACGACACAGCGGCAAGGCATAACCAAGTCATCCGAAGCAGTGTGGGGCGATGCTTCGTCCTGAAACAATGTTGGGCCTCGTTTAGACTTCAGACTTAGTTTCAACAGAAAGGCAACCTGCCGCAAAGCAGCAACCTGAATCACTACTGGACAGCTTCATCCGGCCAACCGAGCAAGTCAAGCCCCGACAGTAGAGGTTGTGACCCCTAACCATTGCAACCACACTACGGGCCACCCGCTCGAAACCCTGACGAAGCGGAGCTTTCTGCTGCGCAAGTTGCATCCAAATCCTGCAGCATGAGCTGTGCTTCTTGCACCGTGCGGTGTCTGATCTTCAGTTCCTCAGGCGTCCAATGTAGGCTGCTCATTGTAGCCGTACGCCAAGATCTAGCCGGCCAAAATCAAGCTTTCAGCGTCGTTTCTACCTCCCATGTGCCCTTCGATTCCGCGCCTCGATCAAGAAAGCCTCTGTCTGCCCTGTGCATAATTATCTGTTCAAGGAACGTCGGGGCCAATCCGCACGTCTTAACTGCTAAGCAGCAAAGCCCGGATTGCCGAAGACCCCACTCGAGGTCAAGCAAACACATATAATTATTGGAGAATCGGGCCATATCTGGGCTTAATCAGACGCCGTTCCGGGCTGTCGGCAAAAGGCGGAGGGGATTACTCACTCTCACTTGCTCAACAAGAAAGAGTGAGAGAGAGAGAGAGAGAGAGAGAGAGAGAGAGCGAGAGAGAGAGAGAGAGAGAGAGAAAGAGAGAGAGAGAGAGAGAGAGACCAAAGCGAAAAAGACACAGCTGGCCCACATGCAAATTGTGTTGATGTGAAGGACAGCTTTCTCATTCAGCCAGCATTCGTCTTCGCAATTCTTAGTGATGCCGTGATACCCTCAATCTCCATCTGCTTACTTGCCACCACAGTCGTCAAATTCAGCATGGCCTGCACGCCTCCGTCGCAATACTTCTTGCGGAGCTTGGCAGTGTAAAGCTACATCGTAGCTATAGCAAGCTAGTACAGATGGGTAGAGCAAAACATGCTTGAGATTGTGCTGCTGTTGAAAAAGCCTGCAGGAACTTCCACAAGCACCAGATTCTCATGGCAGTTTGGGATCGTCAACTCGGAAAAGACCCAGAAGCACCCTCCAACTGCTTCTCAATATACGTGGCTAAACGAAAACCTTCCCTTTTTGCATCAGGACTTGTGCAATCGCCTGAATGTTTGAGCAGGTTTTCGCTCAATACAAATACTTTTCCGTTTTGTGAGTCTTCTGCATAATCGTGCCCGCGGTTTGCCAAGGTTGCTGGCCGATCTTCACCCTTATGAGGTGCTTGGCATGTGCGGGGCCATCATCTGACACTTTGCGTATACCCGACCTCAAAACCCTGAACCCATCATGCACTCCACAGGTAGGGCAAGCAGCCAACTGCATGTTGTAGCTTGCCAATCGTCGCACTTCAGCCGGCAGAATCTCCTTGGCTTCGGGTTCATGGACCAGGGATGACCAGGGCGGCAACAAACAGGCACTTCTACAGGGTCACTGCAGCGTTGAGACACGGCAGTTCCGCAAAGGTTGGATTTTGAAGCCCTGCGGAAACCCATGCACTCACCCAGTTTCAATCGACCTCTGACGTAGACGGTATACTCATGCTTGCAACGATTGCCTTGAGATAACTTCCAGCTTCGGACTTGCTTGAATCCCTATACATGTCGAACTCCACTGCGAAGTCCTACAAATTGCTGGATTCTTGGATATGCCTTCGCCTTTTCTCCCTGCACCAATGTTAACGTTGTGACTACGGGATGGCTCTGCAAAGGCGCTCCACTCGTAGCTGAGTGCCTGCAAGCTAATCAAAGAGCCTCGCGCGGCAGACAGAAACGTGAAAACATGGAAGTGCGCGTGAAGCATGGGTAGGGGGCGGACGGTCATTTCATATAACCTTCTGATCAAAAGGCCGAGCATCCAGAGTCAAAGCTTCCGGACCTCCCAAAACATTGGAGATGGTGGCCCGAAGCATCGCCTGGTTCGCGACAAGCCACACTGCGACATGTCCAGTTCCTGTTTTTCTGGTTGGTTTTACAATCGGGTCTGACCTGGATGTAGCATGAAGCTCGTGAAGAAAGTCTTCGACTCGGTAAGCAATGGCCAACCTGACCTACCCCGCGATCAAAACCTGCAACGATTTATATCTCACGCTACTAACGGTGACCTATGTCGTCTCCAAAGCCCGGCTGACCCCTTACCATGCCGTTAAGGAGCATCCTGCAATCAATTTTCCAACCAGGGTATTCTGGGGGAGAGTTTGCGCTTGCGGCCAATCCCCGATAACCAAGCTCTAATCCTACTACACTTCCATGACAGACTCCTGGACAAAAAAGGATGATACAAGAACCTCAACACTGCCCCCAAGCCCTCTCCACCATTAATCGCCGCACAGTGTAAGTGCCTGCAGCTCGTCCAGGAGGCCACTGGTCATGCTGGTCTGTGCCTGTGGATCGCTTTCGGGACATATGCCAGGTCATCTACGGCATTCTACTGCTGCAATACTGCAGAGAAAACTTTGACCTCTGGCTTTAATTTACTGGCTGTAGTGCTTCGGCAGCTCTGTGGTCAATTTGCCTGGCCAAGTAAACATGAACATACACAGAATACATAGTCCTGGGAAAGTGCAATTAATTAACGCTTCTAAGCTTTCGGTTCTTGGACATTTATAGGTTCTTGGACACGGACCGTGTTTATGATGTGGCGAGTCAGCACAGGGGATTCCGGAGATTCGTCCATCCCGCGGCCATGATCTCCGACACCATGTGACACTGCAGGTCCAAGTATCGAATTCAGAGGTATTAAGTCCCTGAAGCATCATCGACGGTGGGATGCTTTCACCTCGAGTCGAAACCGCTCCCGGTTTGTAAGCGCCCTGGTCCCGAAACGCTATTAACCACCAAATCATGGCACCTCTTGCCAAAACAGCCTGTTCAATAGATCGTCGCTCCAGCACGTTGGAGGAATATGGTCCAGTCGAGGCCTGTAAACCCAGCCCCAGATCCTCAGCCCTAAAGCCCGCCCATGAACCAAGGTTAGCCTCAGGTAGATCCATCAGCTCGAGTCGCACCACTACGGCCGGCACCATACTGTGATTGCCTCAGGATTCGCAGGTTTGGCACAAGCTTGCCGCGAAGTTTACGGCCATGTTGTAGAACGTGCCTGGGGCATTCTATTCTCTCATGCTCAGCTTCTTCGTCATGTTATGGGGGCGGTGGGTGGCGGGGGGGAGCCTGGTACCGCTCAGCAGGAGCGAAATGAAAGCACGAAACAGCTGATGCATTCGTTCATTTGTTTTTTGAACACCATCACTATATTCACAAGCGTGCTGACTGGAACTTCGGACGGACCCACTCACACTCGGACCGATATGTGGCATTTGGTACAGGTTCGTCGACGCCACACTCGACGAGAATAACGAGAACACATAAGAACTAACAAAGGGATCATACTGGGGATCGTGAGTCGCGGCGCTAGTTCGACCCGGGCTTCACAGGCATATAGGACGAAAGGTCTGCAAAATCGGCCAACAACTTGGGACTTGAGTTCGCGGCACCTGAAAAACATGCCTGTCCTGGCTTCTGGGGCTCAGGCACAGGACTAACGTGCCCTTGCAATGAGGTGACCACATGAATCCGACAACTTCTGATGCCCTTATACTCCAAACGAATCCGACTTATGCTGAACTTACCAACCCAGCCATGCAACCCGGAGCGATGAGAAGGACAAGCCGCTTGCTTGAATGGTGTCATTGCCACTCTCTGCAAGCAGCTCAGCTCCTTGCAGATCATAGGCTGGTCTTTCCGTAAGGACCAGGAGATGTAGGTTAAGTGAGTTTTCAGGATGCTTCCGGCGGTCAAGCGGGTTGGGGCGCAGGATTTGGTCTGTTGTGGTCAGTCTCTGCTCCGTGAGGGCATGTGGTCCTGAGACGGAGCTAGAAAGTCGTATGTCGAGGCAATGAACAACGTTGTCTGGCAAGGCATAGATAGGCTAGTAGCGACTGGTAAGCATGCGCTGCTATCGTAGTATGTCTCGCTTGCCTTGGAGAGAGTACTTTTCGACTGTTCGTATGCCTGCTTCAGCTGCACTAGTTGATGCAAATCTCTGTTGCAGGTACGAGCTCAAGCTGCAAGATTCTCGAACATACATTTTCAATCCTGAAACAAACCTCACGTCCCATCGATAATGGATACAATCTTCCGCTTGAAAAGTTATTTCACATGTGGACTCCCGCGTTCCGTGCGGTGTCTGTGGCATACAGTACAGACTTGTGTTGGAAGTGAGACAAAACAAATCCCATAAGGCTTGGCGTCGATCGATGCAAGAAGCGTTGGACACCGAACCCTGCATGTAGGTGGTCAAGCCTTCCAGACTCCAGCTACATGCTTGAAAACTTTAACCTTTCATCGGTATTCATTTGCTGGGTGGGCTGCAGCTACCACAAAGGCGGAAGGATGTGGGGCTCGGTGTCGTGGCTCTGCAGGTTCGGGCTCGGGGCTGCCATGTTGGACATGAGGCTGACGCATGCTCACGCACTTAATCAGTCCGGTATCGATCATTTGTTTATCGACTGCTTCGGAACTTGTAATCAGGCAACGGTGGTTCATGCAAGCAACTGCCATTTACGACAAAATGGGATTTGCACGCTGGCCCATTCTGGATTCAGACTCTTGCAACTCCGGCGCTCTAGGCGACTGTTCGAGAGCGACTTGCAATGGCTGTAGTACATTGCGGCCGTTACACGTGAAACATGTCCAAAGCCCGGGGGCCTACTTATCTCGCACACATGGAGCCATGGGGCTCCCATGCACGAGTGAACCCCAAACGTTATGGACTCTGTTCCCAACTTCAGTAGGAGGTCATCAAATCATATGCAAGCAGGACACACCGTTCCTGGGTTTATGGCCGTTCTGTTGCGGGGAGTGGGGTCTCGCCACCTTCCGGACATGCCTTGCAGCTGGCATCGCCTGCCAGGCGACTTGGGAATCTGGAGCTTGGCCATGGTGACAATGTCCCATGACAAGGTCATACAAGACAATATCCAGGCTTCAGGTTTCGCGCGGGACCTGCGCTGGAGGTCTACTTAAGAGTGTTCTGCAGCTTGGCCTGCCCCACCAACCGAGAACTCATGTCAGGACCAAAAGGCCTATGAAGAAACCCGAACCGCATGGATGCCAAGTTTCATTACACATGCGCGCTTCGAGTATATCCGAGCCCCAAAGTCCCCTGAAGCAAGCAACTCAGAAGGACATACCTCTACCTCACATATGAGTTCTTGCACGGTCCGTTTTCACAAACTATCTGCACGGGTTCGCAATCCTGTGGCCGAAAGGGATCAGCACAATAGTTCGGGACAAGGTGATCGGAATTTGATACCAACCGCTCATGGAGACCACGAGAAGCTATTGGGCTCTCGCCTGCAGCACACCCCCCCCCTTTCGCAAATGCTGCCCCTTTGAAAACCAGAGCCGGCGTGGCTGATCTCATCCTTGTAGAAGCCGATTCCCTCATCACAAAGCGCCCGAAGGTCAAGCTCTAGGGCTCAAGTTTGTCGGGGATGAAGCTATTCGGTCTTACGGACTGGTCCCAGTGCCTCGGAATCACACGGTCTGGAGCAGTCCCTCCACCAGAAAGCAGGTACGTAGTACGTATCCCAAACTTCTGCCCGGCTGCCCGAACACTTGCCACAAACTTGGGTGTGATGCACCCATTCTGTCTGAACTTGCGGCTGCAACCCTGCTGCGCCACGAACATGATCGGCAAGTGGTGTGCGGGTTAGGAGTTCGACTGTCTGAAGGCCTGCAAGATGCTGCTGGGGCATGTCCGGTGTTCCGTTCCGTCCTACCCGAAATTGCCAAATCTGCGAAGGACATGGCACTGTGCCAAAACTTCCTCACTGGTTCCTGGTCTGCGTTCTGTTCTACACTTGCTGCGTGTGTCACTGCTTGGAACTTGGTATGGCTGTGTGCAACGCACTGAATTCGGAAGGTACGGTGGACTAAATGCTACACCCGCAGGAAGTCCAGATCATAAAGCCACCCTCAGCAAAAAAACCTTGAGCATCAGTCAAGATTCAAAGATGACGTCTAGGGATAGCTAGGGTTAGTAGGGCCGAAGGCCTCTTCACATCTGACCGACGGTCAAAACACCTGCTATTTGGATTTCCTGGCTTCCACAATCTCTGAGTTCATGCTTGTCGCTTTTGCATACCCTTGCCTTGTAATCCAAGGCTCGCAGCTCACACAACTTTGCAGGTCATCGCCAAGCTGATAGCCACGTTCACACTCGCAGGCAACTTGTGTCACCTCCAGCTTGGTCACAAGGGCCCAGTGTTATTACCCAATCCTCGTCACTCGAAAAGTATTGCAATGCTCGGACCAACTATAACCGCAAGCTCCAAGCCAGCGGTGCCAAATTTCCATTCCCCAGACATCGATTTTTGATAAGACCCGGATAACACTCCGATTGGCTGCTGCGACAATCTGGGCCAAAGCTTGTGGGCCTGTGCGACACACAACTGCGAATGCGCCTTTCATGTACCAAACGACCTCCATGTTCTGCCCGAAGCCCTCGACCAGTAACCCCAGACGGAAAACCTATGTATCCCTGGTCCAAGCGGCAGCTCCCACTGTCTTTGTCGTCCGGCGCACAGGGCAACCTATGCGCACAGCGAAATCAGCACTTCCGCCGGCGCAGTAATAACCTGGCACTGGAGTGAGGGTAAGACTTGAGAACGAAAGGCTGATGACCTCAAGACTCAATTATGGGCCTGCAATCAACCCTACCGAAAGACAGCCGAAACATTTGTGCGCGAGCGGAGTTTGGGCGCCTTCGCTCCAAACTGCGGCCCAAACCTTCCTGTGGCCAAATCTGAACTCCCGGAGTTGTCACCCCCAAGCCCCGCTCACACCCTGAAAATCAACCTCTGGAGCAAATTGCCGAAAGGGAGGCGTTAGAGTCTTACTGCGCTGAGGCAAGGCAGTAACATAGAAGAACAATTGCTCGTACAGCAAACCAGCCAGTGCGCAACGACGAGAACAATACACTGTCAAGACTTATCACAAGGCAGTTGCACGGGCAACTCGTTTCACGGCTGTCGCAACCATCCTAGGCGATTCCTAGTCCCAAGCACCCCGATGCATGTCGAAATGCGTGAAGCCTCCCAGGAACACAAGCACACAGGCAGATCAGATCCATGGACAGTCTCTTCAAAGACAGGCTGTCATAAGAATTACATCCTCTTGCAACGACGTGTGGCTGTGTCCGGCTCTGATGCATGCTGGCACTCCCACCAACCATGATAGGTAGAAAGATATCAGCACTTACGGCGGACAGCCACCGGCCTCCCGTACATACTCGACATTTCCGACCTGCACATCCGGGAATAAAACAGGCAAAGCCATGTTGGACTGGATCTTCTCGCTAAGAACCATCCGTGCAGCTATTGGAACGGACAGGCTTTGTCAAACATCCAGGAATCCAGTCTCTTACATGTCGTGATATACAAGCCGCCCCTGTGCCCTTATGGGGTGCTAACGTATGGTACTCGGACACCGAATGCTTCAAAATACAAAGTATACGCACACTCATCTGCTATGTGTGCATGACTCTTCTGTTTTATGTCTTGGATCTGCACAGCCAACCCATGGTCCATTCGCCTCGAAACACGCGCGGCGACGTTTTCGAGCTCTGGAAATATGGCACGATGCTCAAGGGTTAGGGGGTTTGGGAGACGTTTATTGACATGGTTTGGATACGAATTAGATACCGCTCCTGGATACGATGTGGATACGCCAGCGACGACATGATGAGAAAGGGATATGACGTGGACATGACTTCGGATGCGGTATGTTGCAGGCTGGGGCGTGCTCGAATTGCTCAGCCGGAGCACAACCATCCAAGCATATGTCTATAACTAGTTTAGCAAAGAACAATGCAGACGTGCTGGAATCTACTGAGAATCTACTGCTAGAATCTGCCAGAACACTCCACAATGCCATGCATCTCTGCTGCATGAAAGTTACTTGTTTGCGTTCATGTTCAAGTCGTGTCCCATCAGGCACACCGCTAGAACCACCGCATCAAAAACCATGTCCCTCCAGACATACGGCCAGAAATGCCTTATGCTCGCTTCCTTTCAGCAGCTGCCGAATTTCTGTGGCTGAGCCACGCAGCCCAGCCCAACCCATCCCGAAATCCGGCCCCACACTGGAATTCAATACAGTTTCAACACGATTTCTGTTAGCGGCTGCCCATTGCCAGCCCCAGATAGTATTGGTGTATCTCGTATCCGCAAAATCCAGCCATATCCAGCCCCAACTAAGAGGAATTGAACACGATGTCAATACGATTTCCGCTCACGGCCCTGCAAGCCCAGGCCGACCCCAATATCGTCGCAATATCGTATTGAAACCGTATCCCTCGGTACGGTTCCGACGCGATTTCGGGTCGAGCCAGTGACAGCCCAGCCCAGTTCAGTCCGGCACCCCAGTCGCGTCAACGAAACACAGCCCCACTAAGGTGAATTAAAATTTAATTCGATTTCGATAAGGCTTCGGCTGTCAGAGCCAGCTCAGCCAAACTCAGCCAGCCTAGCCCGAATCCAACACACGATTTAAGGCATATCGCCTCCCAAAATCGTATCGGGGGTTTGTTAACGCCTCAAAGATCTTAGCGTCGTGTGTGCGGTCAGTTCCTTTCGCTGCTGCTGTGAAGCGCGTCGTCAGGTGCCTTAATTAAAATTGTCCTATGACTCGCTGGCAACTTCTTTAAGCCCCAAAACTGCCCTCATATTTGGTGCTGACCTGATCTACTCTCCGCTGATGCTGCGGACTATTGCGGACTCAAGTGTCGCCGAGCCCGTGGCGCCGTAGGTTGAACCGGAGGTGCGCAGAGGGGTTTCCGCACCGCACATCGTATATAATCGTATATAGCCCGAACCTTCTTCGTGAATGAACTCGTGATCCGGAACGTAGGGAGTCGTATCAAGTGATCGTATTGAAAGCGCATAATCACACAGAAAATCAGGCTTGACTTGAGATGCAAAAGGATTTGCTATGTCACATTTCTGGAACTTGCGAAGCAAGATCTAAAATCCCCCTGCTCCGCATAAACAGACTATTGACATTGAAAGACCCTGTCGGCGCCACCCATGATCATCAAACTATGCCATGCGTGCCTTGTCTAACCTGAGATGCCTGACTTTGCATGTCACCCTTCCGTCGGCTCATGCCCCAAGACCCATGAATCCACAGCCATTGAACCCGGTATCCATCGACAGTCTTGATCACCAGCACCGCGACTAAGCCCTGACCTGAAGCCAGGCCCAAGCTGTACCGCCCTGGCGGGCAGGTGAGCTCCAGCTGTCCGGCCGACACGAATGCATCCTGCTTGGAAGGAGCGCTGACTTGCTTTCCACTGCTGCAGCCATTGGTGTCAATACATTGTCTTGTATGGAACCCAAGCACTGCCATGTCGCAAAAGGTGCTGTCTTCTATGTGCTAATGCAGCACTGGGGTTACATTGCAGCCTGTTCGGGTGTTTTGGCTTTGAAAACATGAACAAGTTCACTATTGTGAAGTGTGGAAGTGCACCGCGACTCCTGGAACAGCGCCTGGTCTCAAGTTGCTGCTCTGATCTTCTGTCCCTGAACAGCCGGACCAACGACACAACCACCTGAACCCTGCAAATCCCAACGGCTTAGGATGCATTTCGGCTCGAACTGCGTTGGAGCAGCTGGCGAGGAGCATCCGCTAGTTGTCGAACACCAGCACCTGAGCTGAGATCAAATTTCGCAAGAAGGTCCTGTTGGAAGTATGCTAAGGGTCGAAACTTCATCAACCGGAAGAGAGACCTTTGCCATAGAATAGGGTCTCGCTCCGTGCCGCACGCACACAGGCTGCCACTTGAGGTGCAAATCCGTTACAATGTATCAGCATGATCAGCACTGCTTCTCGGCACTCTTTTGGGTTCCAGTCCTTTCTCAATTGCTTCTCGGCCCTTCCGTGCCATTGGGTCTGCGCAGGTCTCGACTAGCGCCGTCCAACAGAGCCCCGTTACAGACCTCGAAGGTTGGTGCAAAAGCCAAGCTTGGAGAGGTACATGCGATATATTCCAGGCGTGCCGTCCAAGTGCAGCAGCCCCAGCAAAGCCTGAACAGATTGTGTTTGGGAGCAAATTGCTTCTATCTACGAGAACACGGAGTGGAAAGCCCAGGATGTCAGCTTCTGGCATTTTTTCTGTCAGATAGGTGATTCCTTGAATCTGCCGAGCCTTCCCCAAGAACCACTGACCACTGAACCGTCCACACAATACAAGAAAACAACAAGAAAATGACCAACGAATGGCAAAAACATGTTCACAAGAACATCGCAGCTGTCTCTAGGATAGGCTCTATTTCAGGATTTCCGCCTGAGACTGCCTCCGATTCGCCTCAAGAATGTCAAAACAAAACAAGAGATTGACAACAACGGCTAAACAAGATCAACAGATTGTCAACCTGACAACTGTCGCGAGGATGGGTCCCGAGAATGGCAAACATGACAAGAACAGAACAAAATATATGTTTTTCAAGGACCCAGTCTTAAGCCGAAGGATTCACATGTGTAAGCCTTTCTCCAGGGTTAACTTTTTCTGGCAGAAACAATTTCAAATTCAATTCATACAGAGCTGTCAAGTATGCTGATTGAGAAATACTCACGATCTAGAAGTTCCGAATCCTAAGTTCGCCGACTCAAAGAAACGTCTGCAGCCGGACTAAGTCAATTTGGAATTGCACAGCAACTCAATTGCTTTTCCACAACTTGACAAGAGGCCACGGAAACTAGAGCAAGCGTGGATGCAAGCACGTATGTAGTGCGATGAAGCTCAAGTTATAAGCTTGCAAGATGATAACATGGCCCACGTAAAGATACACCTCGTCGTATTGTCGTGGCTTGACCGACCATGCTGCGCGTCGGAGTGTCGCTGCAAGAACAATAATTCGGCCATCTACGAGCAGCTTCGGTCTGTCCTGGTGGTAGACGCACTCTGCCACGCAAGCGCAAAACACAAGCTGCCATGTTGCTTAAACAGATGGACCATGATGTGGGGAGCTCCCCGTATGTTCTACAGTTCCGGAGTGTAACTGCTAATTCTTGTGAATTATATAATCCTGCTAACGACTAAGGAGCACACATACTAGTGAAACTGCACTCCTACAACCACAATCCGGATTCGGTGTTCAATGGACATGTGCTTGCGAAGAAAGTTATAACCACTGCATAAGCATTATTTTGCTATTATTTCTACCGCTGTACCAGCCTTAGCTTCCTTGGCAATTTCAAAAACCGGACGTCTACTACTTTCACTTCCGGTTCTATCTTCGTCGCCCAGCAATCCTCGCTCGCTACTACAATCCGGATACTACTTTCATATCCTCCTGGAGCATGTGGCCTCATTGCTTGCTGTACAAATCGGACCTACACTCTTGACACAGAGCTTCCTTGGCAAATTTTAAACCGGACGTCTACGACCGTCACTTTCGTTGTTAGCTTCGCCGCCCAGCAATCCTCCCTCGCTATCATAATCCGGAAACTACTATCATATGCTCGCGGAACATGTGGCCTGGCTGCTTGCTGTACATACACATCGGACCTACACTCTTGACACAGAGCTTCCTTGGCAGTTTCAAGAACCGGAACTTGTTACTTTCACTTCCGTTTTAGCTTCGTCGCACAGCATTCTTGGATCGCTATTACCTCCTTTTTAGCTTCGACGCCCAGCAACCCTTGCTCGCTCTACTCTACAACTCGTCTCCTCCTCAAGAATGTGGCCTCGCTGCTTGCTGTACAAATCGGGCCTACGCTCTCGACACAGCAGCAGGCACCACTTCTTCTGCAAGCCAGGCATACATGTCATATCATGTCATGGTGTAGGTCATTCACGGGGAGCACCCCTTTCCACAGGCATCGCAGTCTGCAACCTGGGCTTCAAAAGCCCGTAATTGACCGACAGCCAATACCACTTTTCACCTTCATTGGCCGGCCACGTCTCTCGGAGTTTTCCCGACACGAGCTCAGACAGGTTGCCGGCCTTGCTGGCAAGGGCCACACCATTACAACTATAGTAACATGCGCCCAGTAGCCAGGGATTAGGAATGCTTTGTATACTGTGTATCACCTAGAGATTGCCGTCAGACATTCCGCGCACTGCAAGCACATGTATACCAGGAAGTCCGGCTTCCAGCACATGCGATGGCATATTCGTGCCACTATCACTCTGGACAACCTTTAACTTTGCACACTGTGTAGACGGAAGCGATAACCATGATGTATGTGCTGACTAGCAAGAGACATGGTTGTATGCACTGCAGCTTGTCATGGAAGGCAATAAGCAGCTCAGCAGTTCTCGGAAGGAAGATGCAGCAGCGACTGTGGCAGCCTATTACTCGGGCGTGTGTATCAAAAGTGTAAGCGCCTGACTTTATGACTGCTTCCGTGTCCTGCGACCTGGGCCGACCGGCGCTTGCTGCAGCAGTCCTGTACATGCGGCCTTTTTCTGCACACAGTCAGGCAGCTCCTGGCACTACACTGACCGCGGTTGCACCAACATGTCTGTGGCAAGGGTCCGAGCGGACAGAACCTGTGGTCTATAGCCGGCAGTGCGCGAATCTCTGAGCCCTTGTGCATCTACATGTACGTTCAGCAAAGTAGCGCTCTTCTGTCGCCGCGGACAGCCGGTCTGCGCCAGCAGCCAAACACAGCATGTACGCATGTTGCATGCTTTTAATTCCCCGGCATGCATGCGAGGTAGTCTCGGCTCAAGTGTGTTGAGATGCTCGAAATATGGATTGGCACGCTAGCTTTGTCTAGCGCTTCCACGCCGAAAGCACATGGATGCCCATGTCTAGCTGCAATTAGACGAACAGTAATCCGGAGCTCGGGGTTTCTGCAATCATCTGCTGCCTCGTGTTGTGGCCGAGATCATCATGCGAAATATTAAACGAACTGCTACGGGAGTTCCATACCCCGTCTGACTCCTGCCTGCTGGCGGACCAATCACATTTACATCGTCTGATGCAATGAGCCGGCCTGGCCTTCTGAAAAAGCATCAGCCCTGGTGTACCTCAGATCCTCCTGAGAGCGGATGACGCCCACGATCTGCGCTGCAGCCGGCCTTGTCGGCAAGTCGAGTCTAGTCCTTCCGGCAGCCGCCACGCACGCATTCCAGCCGTCATGTGCAAAAGGGCAGGTGTTTCTACAAGCCACATGTCTTCGTCAGCACGCCCTATGTTGAGGTGCCCCAGTGCACTTGCCAGCAATAGTTGCGCGAATGACCGCGAATGGCCACTGGATATTCAAACCACGCAATCGCAAGTCCTCTGTTGTGCCGTGGCACCTTCTGGCTTTCTTCTCTTGGAGAAGACCATGCGCTTCATCACTTTGGCGCGATCTGTGGACCCGGACTTCTGCTGCCACCGTTTGGACCTCCTTCGCCCAACTTGCATTGCAGCGATGGCCTGCATCCTGGCGACCTGATCTCGCTGTCCAGGACATGAATCGGGCGACGCAGAGCCTGACGAGTCGTCGCACTGGCTCAGCTGGCCCAGAATCTGCTGCAACTCCTGCGCCGCTCATCACGTGCCCCAGCATGGCACCGAGGAGCTCAGCCTGACTCCTCTGAGTAACAGGCGGATGGTATGCTGCGGAATTATGGGCCAGCATCTCCCCCACACAGAAAGCTCGGAGCTTTAGGGCAGCGCTGTCTGCGTGCTGCTGCTGGATGCTTGCTTGCTGGGAACGATTCAGCTGGAAGCGCACGATGTGCGCGGCTTCATTGGCAGTGGTGCCCCAGGAAGTGCACGGCTTCATTGGCAGTGGTGCCCACAAGGCAGCAGTTCCCGGTCTTTCGCGGTTAAAATGGTTACTAGCGTCCCCAACAATGTCATGCACACACCGGCCTTTGCTGCTCTTGCGACCCATGTCAGAAGCGAAGCATCTATGTAGCCCTGGTACGGCTCTTGCATGTATAATCATGTATATGCGCCAGTCCCGTGGCATTTGTGCATCCTCTGGCCGGTGACTGGGCCAAACCCCCGATGCACCCACCGGAGCTGCCTGACATCTCCCGGGGCAGGGACTCGAAACTTGTGCTGCAGCGCCAAGATCTCCCGTGAGCGCATGTGCGCCTCTCCCCGAAGCAAGCCTCCACGCGGAGGACGAGGTGAAGGCCAACTCAGCCATGCCTCGCAAGTTTGGGAAGAGGTTTCGCGCACGGGCGATGGACGAGGGGCAATCACTGAATATCCATTCGGTGGTTGCTCGAGCCTCTTCCGACAGGATGGGCTCGCCTGCACTCCTGAAACAGGCCAGTTTTCTGCAGAGGCTTGACCGAGGATGCTGTAAACGGCATGGCATTCTCCACGAATTTGAACCATGGGAGCTTGGCCAATCAGACTGAACAAGCTCTTGAACGTGGAGTCGTGACTAATGACCTGCCACTCTCTCTGTTCAAGGCAGCAGCAAGGAGACGCACCTCGAGCTCTCTGGTTCTGGATGAAACCCAACATCTCGTCCAGGAGCTGTTGCTGCGTAGCCTGACGTCTGACTCCCATGCAAGCACGCGCCAGGCCCCTTAGTGATGAAGGCAGCCGTTAGAAGGTCGGCTGCACGCGGCGTTTGACCGCCACGCCAAGTAACAGTCTGGAATCCGGAAACTGTGTCATCAAAATACAGGTTCTGGCTTCAGCCGTTTGCTGTCTCCCGTTTGCTGTTTCAGCACGTAGCGGGGGCCATCTGCGGCAGTCAAAAGAACGAGGTCCACATCGTTCTGCTTCTGCAAGAAAGGCAAAGTCTCCGGGTCTGGCCGGACCCATGTCCGAATGAGCTCTGTGCCAACGCAATGTTCCACTGAGCCTCATATCTCTTTAGCGGCCTCTCCGCGTCCTCGTACGCGCCCTCAGCACCCCCTCAGCGCCGCCCTCACCAGCCTCCGCGCTTTCATCACCTCAGTGTGTCCTGAGAGCGCCTTAGAGATGCTCAGCATGTGGCATTCTTGTAACATGGTGTAACGCGGACTCGAAATTTGGCGTCGTGGATTCTTGTGATGTTTCTGCAGCTGTTGACGGCAGTACTGCATGCAATGTCCATCATACGGGGTGGGGGGGTCCTCTGATTATTCGCGTGGTGGCGAGGCCTCCCCCACCCCCGTCCCCCCACCTTTTAATTATTGTGAATGGACCTGATATAAGGTCCTCCAATTTTGACTTAGTTAGTTCTCTACTACCTAAGTGAATGGTAAGCGACAACTCTCGAAAGCTCCACAGAGCTCTTCCATGATAAATGCCCTGAAGTATGAGACAACTCAATCTTTCCTCAGCTTCCAAATCTTCTGAGCTTTGGTCTATCGGGTGACTCAGCGAAGCTTCCCTTGACTTGCACTATTCAAAAACGCACTAGCAAAGCACAGTACACAAGTGCTGAACGAAAAAGACGAGGCTTCAGTGCTGTCATGGGGAGCGTTCAGCAATCGTTCTTGCTGCAGCATGGTTGATTGATTCGAATCTACTCGTTAGGGACGCAACTCTTAGCAAAAAGGGTTCCAAATCTTGGCTGAGTTGGAGCCGGATGCTCCGGTTGCTGACCGGAGTGCCCGAAACCTCAAAACCACAAGCGCCAAACCATGGGAAAGTTATGTGGAAGGTTGCAGTTTGGAGACTTTGGGCTTGGAAAGCTCCCCAACCCAAGATGGTCAAACGGTGAGCAGCATTGAGAAATCAATGATACACTGATGCTCGTGGTGTGGGAGTTCTCGAGCTTTGAGAATAGCCTGGGGGCACCGAGCTTCAACCAGGGACCCTTCCGGCCTGATTTCGTGCCCCAGTCCTCGTGAGGAGCGTGGTGGACGTCAAGTTTGGGTAACCCAAAGCGCCCATGGATGTGGGCCCAGCGCTGCAGTCAGCGCCCGTGACGACCTTTTGCGACACAAGTAAGGACTTTGCGCTTCATTAAGTTTTTCTGGACTGGGGTCACAAGGGTCCAGAACTGGGATTGTTGAGAGGTTGGGCTTAAGTCTCAGAGAACCCGAATGCATTCATCAACTTCGCATCTCAACAGGATCTGCCTGCCGGCGCCTTCAAAGCTGTCCAGCGAATCTGTAGGCCGGCGGTTTTCGTTTGCTATCAGAACCCAGGGCTTTGCTTTTCGACTTTCGGGTTGCGCACTTTGCCATACGTCAGGTCAATTTCCGGCAACACCAGCACTTTTTAAAGCTGGAGTGCCCCGAAAAGAACTGTCGCTCAAGGCAAACCCCGAGGGAACCCTTTTGCGCAGACTTGCATATGCCCGCCTGGATGTCGGACCCTGAACTACCCCAAACCTTCGCTGGGTTTGAAATGCAATCCGGAACGCCCAAACAGAAACTGAGGCAACATCCAAACCCAAAAGGCAAACCAAAATCAGTTTTCTCCAACATAGGCACGGCTTGTTTCCAGGGTGACTTGACAATACCGTATTGAAACTCAATACATCCCGCCATGAATCGAGTCGGTTTATCTGGGATCTCTCGTGACCCTGTTGGCCCATAGTGCAAAAACTTTGCCACCACGAACAGCTATCGACCAACTGGTCTACAGCACGAAGATCGAACATATCCATCCGTTCATGACTACGCAATCACAACCCTTAAACCCCAATCCCAACATCAATCGGCAAAGGATCAGTGACTTGATCACCGGCTGCCAAGTTGGAGCCCACAAAGTCCACTGTACAATCGGCTCCCAACTCGCAGGTCGTGACCTGGCAGAACGTAAAGCATGCTGGACTTTACATTGGAGCAGGTCAGTGATGATCAGGGTTCAATGTCGAATTCCTCGGGTCTCCTTGAACCCATGTACAGGCACAGCCTAAGACGAGCAGCCAACAGGGCCCCTGGTTGGATTTATAGCTTTTAGCCACTTTTAGCCTCGCTAGCACGGGTCGTTCATCTTATTCGTTTCTCTTCCTTTCTCTAATCGGTCACCGTCCTTCAGCTTTTCAGCCCCCGACACACTTGGACAGGGAGGGCCTTTCGAACAGCAAGCCTAGAAGCCTGAGAGATATTGACATGGACATAACTTCAGTGTTTGGAAGCAATCCCGGCCGGGCATCTCACGCGAGCTGGAATCCCTGTCAGTATTTGGCCGTACAATGACGTCGCTATCAACCCGTCAATGTAATTTTCATTTCGACACCCAAACCCGCAAAAATGAACTCCCCCCAAACAGAACTGCCCTGCCTTTTCCAGGGGGCCAGAGAGGACAAGGAAGCCAAATCCCTTCGCCGCAGCTTTGCTTTTCCACTCGGGGGAATCGCTTATCACCAGACCCACTTCAGTTTTCAGTTTGATTGTCCACGACCGGAAGTACGATCCTTACAATTGCCATGATCAACTTCAATACATGCGCTCAGGCTCAGTTTCGGGGGCCCCGGTTGTGAAGCGCTTGGGGTTTGAATATGGTTTACATGTTTCGTCGTGGTGTTCAATTCAAGCGGCTTCGGGCTCAGAGATAAGATGCCGACTGTCATTTGGGGCTGAAGTGTTGTGGCTTGATTTTCTTTTTCCGCCTGACTGCATCAGACCCTTCTCACATCTTTGGGTTTGCACCTGCGTGGTCCTATGCTGGTACTGCTAGACCCTGAGCTTCAAACCTGAGAGTCTGAGTTTAAAGCATGCCCTGGGCAAGAATGCTGCCGGCAGGGCTTCGAGGGGTCATGGGGGCTTTCTAAATCTACAGTAGCACGAGCATGATCAAAGACAAACCCTGCAACACGCAACGCTGACTTCAAGAAAGGCACATGTGAATCACGTGTTCGCTCCGTTCAAACTTGTGCTGTCGAGTTCCCTTACCCACCGGATGCCTGCCTGAACCCTTGATTCATTGTCAGTGGCCTGGGTGAAATGCTCTGCAAACGTGCAGTTGTCCACGTCAGGGACCGGCCGACAGAAGCACAACCGGTAGACACCAGGCCGGCCTCGGACCTCCAAGCTACAAGGTCGCATGGCGTCTCTTCTGCAAAGGGGTTGGGTCTGGCAAGTCGCGCCTCCTGCGATCCCTCTCCGATGAAGAGGAACTCCTGCCCATGGTGGCCACAGCGGCCACAGCAACTACTAAAGTCACTGAAGCTTGCAAACAAAGAAGCCTAAGCTGGAGCTCAGGGCCAGGGTTCGGCTGCAATTCTGGCATCACTTCCCGCTGTGAGCAGATTAGTGGCTTAGGGCTCGCAGGCGGTGCTTGCGGTGTGGAGATCGAATCGCCCTGCAGAGCCTGGAATAGCTCTAGTTCAGCACTTGTGGTTCGTTGCATGTTGCAGTTAGGCGGCCCGGCCTTCCTCCTTCTATCAGAACATCCACTCTGCCGAACTTGAACTGGACTGTCTGGACTTGCCCGATCGTTTGCATTGGGTTCTCCTTATAAATCACACTCTACTGTACCTTCTGTGTGCATGATATCGATTTCAGTGTCCCAAGACTGCGAAACCACCCGCTTTTCTGGGCCATTGCCAGGTATGCTCGTGATGGTCAACAATGCGCCAAAATCCTTACATCCCCAAACTGGCGGGTTTCGGGTCGGTGAGTACTTTCGGCTCTTCGTATTTCGGTTCAGGAATCTCGGTCATCTTTGCTGTTGGTCTGGCCGTCGGGCCCCCAGACGGCTCATTCGCAGGATCTGCGGGTGGTTTCTGTCTGTAGTTGCGCAACCCAGCTCGGCTCTCTGACTCTGGCGAAGTACGCCTACTAGCCAGACAACACTTTACCACGAGGAGCCTCTGACGAAGCGCTCTCACAGTCTTGTTGACTTTCGAGCCCAGCTAAGGACATGTAAGGTCTCGTCTCGATATAGGATATCATTGCAGCCAGCTAATTCTCCGGCTGGGCAGTTCGACAATAACAGACTTCCATGCCAAAGAGCTCAAATCGCTCAGTGCTGATGTTACTTCAAGCGATTTGCTAGATCCGGTGCTCTTGGATCTGGTCAGTTTTAATGCAGCACCCTGAAATAAAGTGTTACTGCAAAGGAAGGTTGATAATGATAGTTGTCTGAGTTGTTGCCACGGGCTAGCTGTGGGCAGTTCAGTTTTGCCGGGCTGGCAACTTCCTGAAGCCCCATCCGGCCCACATTCCCGTTCGCCTGGCCGTCGTCCGTACCGTTGCCCTGCGCTTCGAGAATGCCATCTCCGGGAAAGCCCGCCAGGGCCTGTCCTGTCAACTGCTCGGAGTCGGAGCGAGGCCAATCGTTCCCCAATACACATGGAAGTTTATCACTACAACTAGAAAAGCCGGCCATTTAGTCGGACTTCAGGTTTTGACGAAGGTTTGGGCTGCTTTTTCGTCACTCGTGCTCGACAAGTCAGACGAGGTTTGGGCTGCTTACTATGATTTCCAAAGGGACAGAGTGGGGGCTCAAAACCGAAGATCCCGGTTTGGGAAGTGGAAGCTTGTTTATCTTCGTGCTCTCGTCCCCTCTCGTTTCGGTCGTGTCGTTTGACTGTAGTAGGGGGCCACATAAAGGACCACGACAACACTGCCCTCATTCCCTATTTATGGCAGCATAGATCCCCAAACAAAAAAAGAGCACATGCCGCGTACACCCCGAGGCTACGGAGGATGACCACCTCCACGACCAGCACTACCAAAGTGACCAAGACCATGGAATTGGAGGCAGCCAGGCAGGAGGGAAGACAATACCTGCCAAGTGGATGTGCGCATGTTGACGGAGTAGGAATGCAAAGGGGCCAGCCTGAGAAGCTTCAAATTGCGGCCGTGCTAGGAGTCGAAACGTTTGGAATCTTTTGAAGGCACCAGACTTTGGCGGGAGCACGATTTCTGCGGGAAACGAGACTCACAGCCAAAATGTTTTCTACTTGGGAAGATGTGCGCACGACACTGGGGCGGGAGCACACTTTCAAACTCTCTAGAATGGAGAGAGTTCGAGACCAGACCAACTGGCCGAGAGGAGGCCAATAACGCGGCCTTTCCTAGCACTTTAGGGACTTCGAGCGCTTTGAAGGCGAAAACCAGCACGGGACTGCCACAGGAGCACCATTTCCACCGACTCCCAACTGCTCTGCAAAGAACCGTACCATCGCAAGACTTGCGCACGCTCATGCGGAACCCTCGCGTCGCAGTTTGTTGGGAAGCTGGGCACAGCTGGACCCACCTCCGCACACTTCAAGCACCATGATTCTGTCGCCACTGCGGAGACCATAACCTTTGAAATTGCTCGGGGTTTAGGGTCAATTAGTGTCTAAGGGATGTTCTGGAGTTTGGTGCTTGCAGGGTCTTGTTTAAGCAAGGGTTTGGGGTTTAGTCTGTGGCTCTGTAGGGTTGTATACGATTGAAGATGAAAGATCTTCTAGTTGCGCAGAGTGAGGAGTCGCTGTCGAGCATTGCTTTGGTTGGATTAGGGGCTTCGTTACACGAGGCACCGATCATAGAACATTGCATAGTCAACCGTCGTGTTCCAGACTTCGCAAAGTAGTGTCGGGATGAACTGAAATTAACTGGACACATTAACCTTCGCAAAGAAACCATCAAGAAGAAAGAGCAAGGCCGTCTTCCACAGCTCTCAATCACAAACCCAGAAGTCATGAAAGAAGTGGAGGACTCGGGTCTGCCCAAGCTGTCTGCGTGCATCAAGATGGCCAGTGATGAGGGGGAAAGTGCAGACCTGCAAGTTCAAAGGCAAACGACAGACAGTGCAGTGCCATCCATTGTTTTCCAGTTCTTCAGAGCTCGAAGCAATTTCTACTGCATTTGTCAGGGCTTGGAAGAATTGGCGGCGGAATTGTCAAGCACGGATAGGCCGTCTGGTTTGGCAGGTTGCGTGAGGTTGGTGGGCAAGAAGCAGTTTAGCTGAGGGCTTAGGTACGCAAACCACAAAAGCAAGGGTGGGCTCGTAGACTGTGCCGACAAGCTCACCATGCTTTCTGGTTTTGATAGTATGCGATGCCTGAAAGATCCCTCTGACAAACATTACTACGGGGCCTCCTGCATTCCGTGGTCTGGCCCGCTGGCTGATTGCAAAGAATGATTACAGGAAAGAGCGCTTGATTTTGTCCAGGTCTCTGCTCGTGGGTTTAGGCCGCTCAACCCCCTGCCCTGACGAGTTCACTGATTGTACGCTCCCGCGTTCGGTTCAATGAAACAGTGGTCCGGCTCACTGGAAGGACCATTAATTGTGCGCATGTCCACGTGAAGGCGTGGTCGTCCCTGTAACGGGCTTGTGAGCCTGAGCAAGCGTAATTCCGTGAGCCAGGCCTCGGACGAAGTCCAAGTGCCGACGTGGTACGGCATAGGAGGTAACCAACTTTGGAGAGCTTCAAAACCCTTTCAAGATTCTCAAGCGGCTTGATTTGATATTGACGCCGCAGTGGAATACGCAAGACACTGCGCCGGGAGCGCGATTCATCAAGCAATGCATCCACCTTGGATTTTTCGATGGATTTGGCCTGCCCGACGGCCTGTGCGGAAAGAATGTGACTCTACTCGAAAATATGCACTCCGTCGCATCGGCAGCCGCAAAACCACTTAGCGCTCATCGTGGGAACCCACATAGTGGTGCCATGCTGTTTGCGGAAGAATGCATTGGCGGTGGGCTTCGGCAAGCAAGTTTGAAGCGTTGTCCGGTTGGGGTGGGGCGGAAAAGGGTACCGGAAATACTAAACATGCATTTCGGGTTGGTTTCAGGTCTTGATTTGCGGCAAGCTCGTATGAATCATATCCGGGTGGGACGGTATGGCATAGGGTGGGGGGGTTGAGGGGGGGTCTGAAATAGGTACCGGTACTATTTCGGGCCCGTCTGTGTGTGTGGGGGGGGGGGGGGGGTCAGGGGACTCTGCGACAGGCATCTCTCTCTCCTCTTTGTTTTTTCTCCAACACCCCTGCTCTGATCCGTGAAACTCGTGAGCGGAACCGGGACTTCTTTCAGGTCTTACACTTTTGTGTATGCATAAGGAATACTGTGACAGTGATCCTGTGCCCCTGGACAGGGCGCAGACTGTGAGCACAGCGAGCAAGCAAGCGACATGACAGCACCAACTGGACTCCCGGTACCTATTTCTTCTGGCCCCACCCCCAACTCTCCCAAAATAGGTGCCGGAAATAGTAGCAGGCAGAGTCACCCCCCCGCCAGGTACGATTACGAGGGGGTCCCCGTTTCCCACAACTAGGCCCAGATAGTATGGCAGGCTATGCTCAGGCTATGCAGGCTTGAGACATGAAGTACAGCACCACAGGAATCCCTAGAAAATGAACTGATTGTGGATCGAACACCAAACTTTTGTTCAAGCCCGGCCCGGCCACATTTTCAGAACAGAACAGAACAGACATCTGTTGCGCGTCCCAAAAAGGTCAGGAAAGCCAGCGAGAAGGGTTGTGTGAGATGAGATGGAATGCTAGAAACTCTGAAACCAAACCCTGCTGCACGTTTCAAGTCTTGAACAATGCCTTCGGGCTGGCTTTTGTGACGGTTTGGCTGCAAATGGTTGTGGGAACCAAGCTCGGAGGACTATTGGGTATCTGGGTGGGACGGGAGATTTTGAGAAGAGCCAAGCTGGCAGGGCAGCCGGCCTGGCCAACAGCACACTGTGCCTCGTGCGGGTTGAAGGGGCCGACAATCCTCCACAGTAGCGGCTTTGCAGGGATGCCGGAACTCAGAGTGTAGGGAAGCAAAGCATTAGGATTTGAGTGTTTCGAGATCCTAGAGGGTACTTGACTCGCTGGGCAATTCAGCAGCTGGCACTTGGCGTTTCGGCACACTTCTCAGCTGCAGTGTCAAACGTTTGGGACTTGGGATGATTTGTGGAAGCATCTGCGGAGTACGCCGTACGCTAGTTGGCGCTTAGCGTGGGCTCGATGATGGACTCGCCAGCCAACACAAACTGCCAGCTTCAAGATTGTACTGAAAACAGGAAAGAACACCTTCAGGCGCACATGCCCCAAAGCGAATGACAACCCTGAGACGGCAACTGGCCTGAACATACTGCCGGTTTGCGTATGATGTAGTCATGGAGTAGGTATCCTCCGACATCCTAGATTGCGAACTGGACTGCCTCATCTGTCCAGCTTGTACCCATGCGAAGGGGTCCTGCGAGGCTTCGACCCCCTGTGGGTTTGAAGGTTTGCGGGCTTCGGGCTCTTCTTTCCACCTTCATTGCTGGGTCTGACCCGATGACCCGATGTCTCAGGAGAGAGAGTGGCGACCTTCTTTTACGAGCGAATCTTGGCCTGAGATATCTGTTCATGGTTAGACTCGACTCAGACTACGAAACTAAAGGAAGCTACGCTAGGAAGGTTGACGAAACAATGCTGCACATGGATTGCTGATCCCAGTGGGACAGGTTCCAATTACAAGCTTCGACTTGCAAGTCTTTATTGTTGCCTTCCATTCGGGCCTACATGGTACATGAAGATAGTCTTTTGCCTACCGAAAGTGCGAACACCTCCCACTGACCCAGAACTCGAAAACCTTGACTCTTCCTCGCAGCTGCCCTCGCTCGAACTTCCGCACCAGCAGATGTTGTGCGGGACGGGATCCTTGCAACCCGGAGCTCCCGGAGGCTCAAGAAAAGTGAAAACTTGTGTGAGTTAGATTTTGGATTGTCTTATGGCTTGCAAGCTCTAACACGGTGCGTGCGCAGGTGGGTGCCTCTCTTGTGTGCTTGTGTGGGCTGGGCGGGGGAGCGTAAAAACGGAAAGTGTATATAAGTCTGCCCTCTAATACGCCTTAGTAAGGGCTCGGGCCTGAGCTACCGACGGTACAGTTTGGATTGGGGTGCCGAGCTCTTCGCGATTTGGGCTTTCTGCATCTTGCCACAGCCCATATATAGGCGCTTAATTTAGCGTGAAAAGCAATTTGCAACCTGAGAGAAGTCAACAACCGGAGCCGGCGTCGGAGCACGAAACCCAGGAAGCGTAATATTCTGAAGTAAATGATAGTAAATGTGACTTGCTGCATGACTAAAGATCAAGTACATCAACGAGCCGAAACTTTTTTGGGGCTGGAAACTCTATCACGCAAACAACAACTTGTTCCCCAAGCGGTTGCTGTGTTGGCAACCCTGGCCGCGCAGTTGAACGTGCTGCCTGCCTGTGGCGTATCTTTAACAGCAGAGGCGCATACTGCAACTCGATGAACTTGAAATCCATCGTTAACATGCTGTTCATATCGGCATCGACGATCTCCGCCCTGCGCTGCGCAGCACCACAAACAGGCCCAAATACGGTTTTGGCTTTGAGGCGTCTGAGATAGAACAGTATAGTCATTATAGAAAGTGCGACGGTAGAGGGTCTCATTGAAACTCGGTGGGTGCTTCCAATTTCCCAAACACTTGGTGGAGTTTCTGAATTTTTTTGCCTTCAGTGCAGCGGGATGTGGCTCATCACACATCAGTCTTCGAGGGGTTCATGAGTGATGGCGCGAGACACGTTGCGCGGCAGTGGCGCCTCGGCAGTTCCATGGCTCCCGCTGTAGCACGATGCGCATTTCGACTCACATCGTGCTCTTTCCACAGCCCATGCTCCAGCCCTCCGCCGGAGAGGCCGTCCTAGTAAAATGCAATGGTTTGGCGCTTCCGAATTTGACATATCGCGCTCCTGGGGATCCGTGCAAGTTCTGGGGTGACATCGTCCTCCTGCGCCCGCGGCACAGGCAGCCGTCTCGTGCTCCTTGCGGAACTCTGCTTCGTGCTGCCTTGACCTGTTTGACGACACAAAATATCTGTATATATCTGTCGTCCACGCATAGGTGTACTTGGCAGGTGTATCCACGGCCCACGGTTCGGCCCAAGGATCCGCCGAGTAGGGAGACACAGGCCGCCGCCGAGGGCCCTGCACAGCTGTGATCCTGCGTCGTGGCCAGAGCCTCCGTAGCCGTGCCGATCGGGTCCAGTTTCGTACCCATGCGGATCTCCACGGACTTATGTGGAGTGACAAAGTTGGGCCGCCATGTTGGAGTCGGGCAATCGTAGCGGCGGAGGAGGCGTCTGAAATGAGCCACTGCTGCAAGGCTCATCAGATCACTTTCTGCATGTTTGTGCCATGTCGTAAAAACAGTACTGAGCAGAATGCAAATTGACATTGTACCCTGTTCTGACATGGGTGGTCAGTGACCGCCTTAAAATGCTTAAGGTCACACAGGGTGCACCTCGCTGGTGGTGGTTCGCCAACCTGATTGTCGGCCGCCTTGACCACGACTAGCCATCCCTGCGAACGGCCTGACTTAAAAGGCTGTTGCTTGCCGTGAAGCAGCTTCAGATGCCTCGCTCGCTCATGTGCTAGTCTTCGGCTTGGGTGGCGACGGAGGTTTTGTGCGGCCAGACGGCAAGGAAGTAGCTTTCTCCGTCGCAGTCATGCTCGAGCTATCTCGAGCTAGAGCTGATAGCATCCGTCTTGGTCGTTGTCGCTCGTTCTAGATGTTGTTTGCGAATTTCTTCCCGCAGGGCCTCGTAGTAGGTGAGGTCGTGGAGCAGCCCAGACATGAGAGCAAGGGAGGACCCAAGGCACAGACAAGACTTTCGAGGCTTGTAGTGGACCGGGCTACACCCTGAGCCTGCATAGAAAAGAAGCATTGGCGTGAATGCAGCCCCACTTATCAACACTGGTTTCCGGGCTGTTGCGATAGTGAACGGCTTGGGCCGAGTCCGGATCGTGCAGGGCGCTCCGGTTGACTATTTTCCGAGTCTCATGACAAAAATCGGATGTGGTGGCCCTTCTCTCAAGCCAGCTACCAGCAGCCGCCTGTAGGCAGTGCCTCACTGGTTTAAATCAAATCAGGTTGGCCCGTGGCCCCGCCTGCGATGTAAATTGGTGCTTTCTGACTCAACTTTATGCTGGCACGGATGGCTTATCTGATGCTCTTCGTCTTGCCCACATGCACCGATGCTTTACGAAGATCTTGTCGAGCATGGCTTGGCTTGGTCGCAATGCTCGAAAGCTGCAGGCCTCTGCGACCACAGCCTCGGAGCTGCAGCGGCTCATCATGCAACAGCTGGAACTCGCGAAAGCATGCCGGGGAACAGAAGAGTGGGTCCCCAAATGCCACTTAGCTCTTCACCTGCCGCTGCGATTAGCGAAGCACGGCTCCCTGCAGTCTTGTTTTGTCCACGAGACAAAACACAAGATCGTGAAGAACGTAGGCAATCAAATCCCGGACGCCAGCAAAGCCTTCGAACAATCCATATAGAACGACGTCCTCTATGACCATGTAAATGCTTTGAAGAACGAAGCCTTGCTGCCCAACGAAGGTGTGCAGCTTCTGCAGCCAACCCGACCGGCCCCTCGCAAACTCGCTGACGAAATCCAGCAAGCTTTGCAGACTGGATTGGAACTCGGGCAGCGCACAGGGGTAATTTCGCAGCAGTGCAAAGGACTTGGCATTCGACGACCACGAGAGCCAACATTTGGTTGGTCGGGTGGGATGCCACCATGTGAGGGTCGGGATGCCTTGCTACTGCTACTCGCACATCACCTTCTGGAAACATGTGCACAGACTGATGTTCCGCGTAACGGAAGACGAGGTCGGTCGCTTTGGTGGAGACACGTCATATCAGAGACACCTGCAGCTTCATCCTTCAGGGCGACAGAGCCACCGTTTGCATTCCCTGATATGGAAAAATCATGCACTGCTGGCGAGCTTGCAGCCCTGGACGCTGCTTTAGTGAGGTGGCTATGTTTTATACACGTGCATACAAACTTGTTTTTCACAGTCGTTTTTCGTAGCTTCTTCTCCCTTCCAGCTGTTCAGGTGCATAGAAACATCGTTTTCACAGTCGGGCTCTTAACTCAACATAGTTGTACATATGACTTAATATGACTTAATTAGACTTAGCTATACTGCCTATGTTGACTTTTCTTAACCCCACACCTCCGTTCAGCTAAGCCCGTTAACTCAGTGCAGAAGTTTTGTTTTTTAATAAACCACATAAATAACGATCCTTCAAGTAGCAGCTAAGTAATTTTTTTGTAACTCGTGCTCGACAAGTCAGACGAGGTTTGGGGGAAAGCAGCAACGACTGTTGGTAGAACGCAGCGTGCGCACATTGACACACGCCCATTGGCGACGAAACGACTGTACAACTTGTCCACACTCACGTTCACAACTCTTTTCTCAGCTCAGGGCGACCAAGTGTTTTCTGCCATCAGACGGTTCTGTCACCCTTCATCCCACAAGCTCCTCCGCTCTTCCGCGGAGCAGAAGAGCTGCCCACCTCCAGCCCTGACACGGGCGCTCCTTGACGCTGAAGTGGAGCACAGCGTGCGCACGACGTGCACTATGTGCACAAGTCGACTCTACGGCAGCATCACCAGTGTAATGTAGGATACAAGCAAGTTAAGTAGATTACACCATTTGACAATCGTGTTTGCTCACATCTTAGTCCTAGCATCGCAGCCACACTGATGTCAAGGCCGAACCTTCTGGGGGACATGTCACGATAATGCTTATCACCATTGAACTTTAACCTCATCTCATCTTCATTATACAAACTTGAGCTCAATGACACAACTACGCAGACATGTCAAGATACTCTTTCTGCTCTCCTTCGTCCACGGCTGCAAAACGTCATTCTGTTTAACATGTTTGTGTATCAGCTTGTCTTGCGGTCAACCCAAACCAGTATATAACCTGCTTACAGATCTGCAACACAGAATAGCAGCACCGACGATATCTCGGTGTAAATATTGCTATCCGTCGTATTCCTAAGTATGACCAACAACTTCAATGCAATCTCCTGCTTGCATCTATCATAACTATCCCACTGATACTACTGAACACCAAAGGTAGAGCCCATTGACATGCCTACGCAATCTTCAACATCAGTCAATAGAATAGAATCCGTATCAGCAAGAATGTTGGCGGTTGCCTTAAGTGCTGGTGGCAAAACGGTTTTGATACAGAAACGAACATTACACATCTATCGCGACAGCTTTGAAAGAATCTACATACTCCCTTAGTGCAGATGTAGACGACGCATGAAATGCAGCAAAGCCGTGCAATCGTGCTGTTTCGAAGGCTTGTTCCCCACCCTCGGTGTGGGGTTGTTAGATTTTACAGTCAGCTATTACTCCTCGCCCGCTGAGATTATATACCTCCTGGAGCACTCAACCCCACAGGCTACCGTGAGAATACCGTGAGAATCCCTGGAGTGCCCAAGCCCACAGACTTCCATGAGAATCCCTAGGAGTGCCCAACCCCACAGACTACCGTCTCAATCCCTGGAGTGCCCAACCCCAGAGGCCACAGACTACCGTGAGAATCAGACTACCGCGAGAATCCCGGGACCCCACAGACTACCGTGAAAATCCTGGAGTGCCCAACCCCACACTACCGCGAGAATCCCTGGACTGCCCAACCCCACAGACTACCATGAGATTCCTTGGTGTGCCCAATTCCAACTTTGGAATCTGCCGGGGCCTCGCAGCCTCGAGGCTTAATTCATAATGCATCGGACTCGTTTGTCACAAGCAGATTCGTACTCTTCTGTCAATTTGTACGTGCTGTACAAACACACTTGTTCCACACCTTAACCCCCATCACAACGCGTGTGAAACATCAGGCCTAATCTTGCTGTGTTGGGAATACCAGGGTTTTCGGCTGCAGCGTGGCGGCCCCGCGGGAGTGCTCGGGAACACCAGGGTTTGAGGCTTAGGCTCGGGTTCTTTAAGTCTAAGGATTTGCGTGTAGGAAGGACAAGGCGCTAGGGTGGAGATGTTCGAAGTAAAATAATTTAGGCAACCCCCAAAAATATTTCATCGTCGCGATGCAACAGCTTTCCGGAAAATAATCGGCACGCAACTCAAGGGCTCCAGGCGAAAACAAAGACTTTTCGTGTTGACTGATCTTGATGATAAAACGAACCTTAAGTTGAATACGACCCTATATTCGAAACGTGTCGGAAAGCAGGTATGTCCGCAGGGGAGAAACAGGCGAGGTGCAAAGACCCCCCCACCACATTCTCAAACCAAACGATAAGACAGAAGCTGTGAAGCCCGTCTTCGCGGGCATAAGCCTGACATCTCAGCACATGCACCCCAGCTTCAAGCTAACGCATCCACACGGGGTCGTCGTCAGAGTGTCCATGGACAGAGTGGGCCGCAAGCTTGGCAAGAAGTTCCAGCCGAAGGCCGAAGGCCCAAATTCGTAAGATAGTTTAAGTTCAGCATAAACTGCATCATGCGGTTTATTGACACAAGCATGGCCCAATGCTATTCGTGCAATGTTGTCCAAGTTCTCCAAACCACGAGGAGGCAAGCCATACCAAAAAATGAAGGCAGTCCCCAGCAGAGACCCTCCACTAGAAAGTCCAGGTCCCCGCCAAGCCGTGGAATCAAAGCTTCAATGTCAGGCCTCTTCAAGGTGGCCTGTTGTGCCTGCCGCTGTCAAGGAAATAGGTTGATGCTTCGGTGACTTCTGGTGGCCTTAGAACTGTGGGCAGAACGTCATGTCCACGCCAACGTATGTAACTTACGTAACCCTGTCACATGGATACCGAGGCCAGTGTGTCCGTTCCTTCTTACAGTGTTCCTTCAAGGCACGCCGTTGCAGCGAGTGTGTCTGGCACTGATCAGAAATCTCAGCCCGTGGATGCATACAACTCAGTTCACATCATGAATTAGTAGACAGCGGTGTCTTGCAAAAGGTCTAGTCTAGAAAGCGAACATCAGATGTATAACGCGCAAGGACCTTCTGATCAAATGATGAGGCGAGCATGATATCTCTTTCAAACGAAAGCTTACTGGACAAACAGCTTGGAGCGGAATATCGAGCTTCAAAATGCTCGAATATCATCCCTTACATCATTGCACCTACAAAAACCTCGATGGCGCGGTTCACCACGGCATCAGCATCTGCCATAACAAATGTATCGCCTAAAGCAGGAAATGACAGCTCAAACTTACAGCCTGCATCCTGCCTCTCATAGCAACTCCTACCTCTCCCAGCTCGCCTTCTCAGCCTCTGCGATGGAAGAGCCACATGCAGAACGCTGCACCCTCACACTGCTTTGGTTCAATGTCAGGCCAGATCCTCGGCATACAGTCTGCTGCAGGACAGCCAAGCCTACACATGTCTGAGTCCGGGCCAAGTCTGCTTGAGTGCGCAACATGTCGACTGGCAGTTCTTTTTAAGGCTACTTCATGAAACAGTACGTGACAGCTTTGTTGACATCAAATCTAAGTGAGTGGCGAGCTAAGGAGTGCTCACGTCAGCGCACACATGCGCTCACCACGTGCAGTTCTGCTTGGGCTGGGCTTTAAAGCGCTGGCTCGACAAACCTTTCGCACTTCAGAAACAAAACAGCAACATCGCCAGAAACTCAACTTGTTCCCCCCAACCCGTCCGGAGGAAATGCATCAAACCTACATCCCTTAGCTACATGCCCGCAGCCTCAAACCCGGCGCACCTGAAGCCTAATTTCTTTTCACCAGGGACTCTGAAGCCTAAATGACCCCTGAAACGTTCTCCTGGAAGGCTTGTTATCCAGTCCTACCCGGTCGCAGCCGATGCGCTTCTACTGCATACAATGCATTTAAAGCGATTTGAGTGCCAAGTCGTGGTAGCACACCTGCTGCGTTAAGGCGCTCCAGGCCAAAGGCCCAGACCATCCAGGTAGTCTCAAAATTGCGGTTCATAGACTACTGCGCTACAGACAGCGATTGTTTTGCTGCAGGTTGCTGATGGCTCGAAAACAAGGCTAGCACCAAACATATCTAAATATGGTGTATCTAAGGGTTCCACCCGAGTGCTTATCACATTGTTCCGCATACCTTCAATGTCTGCTTTCCACTCCTCTCGTTTTTGCACCCCGCTCGTTGTTGTTTGCATTTGCAGCAGCTTGTTTTTACCTATCCCGTCCGCGTCCAGGCTCGTGGGTTAACCGTGGGATGAGGTTTTGAGAGCGGGAGCGGCGGTGGACCTGCAGTGAAGCCTGGTCTCGCCATCCCGAAAGGTGAACGAGAACAGAGCAACACCGCAGATGGGAGCATCTAGGCTAGTATTTCCAGACTACCGTAAGGTCTGCATGCCAAAGTCGAACACGAAAGCCGCTTGCAGGGATCACTATCCCAAAGTTACACGAAAACAGAGCAACACCATGGACGGGAGGCATGCCAAAGACGATCAAAGACGAACACAAAATGGCTCACCGTCCCAAAATTGAACGAGAAAGAACAGAACAAGACCATGCGTGGGTGTATCATAGTGTATCTAGACGAGCAGTTTCAAACTGCCGTAATCTGCATGCCAAGATCGAAAAAAGGCTTGCAGGAAGGCTTCCCAAAAATGTGACGTCAAGGCAGTCGCGGCCCATCACGCCTCACAAGTATGCAGACATAGGCTTCAAGCATGAAGCGACCATCGGCATACTAATAGGGGGATCCGGGTCATGGTGCGAATGCGTGTTAATTGGAGAACATCATTCTGCTCTGATTGCGTGTGGGCCTGCTGAAGTCGAAGACCACTTTCATTACCAGCATGAACGTTTTTGTACCCAAACCTGCAGTGAATGAACAAATTGCTCCAACGATAAACCTCACATAGGAGTGAGAAGTGCGATCACTGCTGGAGCAGCTTTCTAAGCCGTTGTTCGACATGTCTTGAGGAAACGCTCGCCGTCTCCCTGCGGAAGAGGACCGCATGTAAGCCCGAAATCAGGACTCGTGTGAAGGATGCTCAATGTAGCAATCACTGACAAGTGGAAATGGCAACACGTCCAAACCGTGAATCCTGAAGTGTTGGGACTTTGCAAAACCTTGCACTGATAAACAATACGAAAGATCACGTCCTGAACTGCAGAACAGGGGGTGGGCAAACTGCGCATGCCGGAGAGCGGAAGAGTATGCTCTTGACTACAAAGCTGTGGGAATTAATAACCGTAATGCTGAACAACGGAATAAATGCTAGACGGTGGAGGGCAGCAGACCCGAAACCCCAAAACGATTAGGAATAGCAAATCCGAGATACTAGAAAATCAGACTATCCACACCCACTACAAGACCTCTACGAACCTGTTGCAACAGCGCTAAACTCTGCGTTTGTCGAAAGCAAGCACAGCCTCGAAAATTAGGGACTCTTCCTGACAAATCACTTCCCCCATTTATTGAACCCCCCCTGACAACAAAACACTTTGGGGCCAATCCTCCCAAAATCATCCCTGCCTGTTTAAAACCTGGTTTGGATTAGGGGGGTCCGGAGCAAGAGCAAACGTATAAGCAGGAGTGAGAGCAAGAACAACAGCAAAAGCAAAGGCAAGAGCAAAAGCTGGAGTAACAGCACAAGCAAGAGTAAGAGCAACAGCAGAACGAAGAGCAGAAGCAACAGCAAGAGCAAGCGCAGGGGCGAGATGAACAGACGTACATAGCAAGAGCAGGAGAAAAACCGCACAGGAGCAAGAGCAAGAGAGAGTGAAAAAAGGTATAAAATACACCCCAATAATAACAACACTTTCCATCATTGGGGTGCAGGCCCCCTCCGTTTAACATTAGGAGGAAGATGAGGAAGGCATTGCTGCAACTTATACAGTCAGTAGAGAACCCCAAATGTACGGGATGCACTTGTGCCCCCCAAACTCGCACACAGGCTCAAGACCCGAACAATCAAAGCAACACAAAACGCCAAGACGTCACCCGAAGAATCAACTTATCTCAAAGCCAAGTACAATCCGTTGGCGGTGGTCGATCAGGATCAGTAGGATCCCACAAGGGGCCAGACACCTTGACGCAATGGTAGGTTGAATTCACCTCCCCTTTCCATTTGCCATCCGCCACTGCCCCACCAAACGCTTTGATTGTGCTGTAAATTGCACCCCTCCTTTATGGGCTTACTTGCTCAGGATATGCGGACTGTTTTCTTTAGAGGGGCCAGTGCTCTGGGAACTGTCTTCTCTACTCATCTACTCGGCAGTCTCACGAAGAGAAGGAAGCACCCCATCCACAACGCACACCTTGCTGCACCTAGTCTCCTTGAAGTACGATACCGTGTAATCGCCACGGCTATACCACTACCGCTGCTGCGACAAGTAGGGTTGCGCACAATTGTCTGACTTGCAATTCAGTTTGGCTAAGTCCGTTTCTGGATCCACTATCTGGGTTTATAACCACCTCAAGTCGGCGAACTCGTCTCATAACTTCATCATATGTTCTGGGAGTCAGGACACTTGCCAAGTAGAAGCGGCTGAACAGTTAAGGAACTGTTCCGGAACTTATAGATAGAGCGTATGGAGTTCCATTGAAACACTGAAAGATTCAAGACAATGCGTCCCGTTCGCAAACTTTAGAGGCAGAGGTTGCTGGCATTGCATAGCAGAACTTGGTTCACAGCTCGGAGCTGGTGTTGTCAGAGGACAAAACGAAAGTGGGCGAAGGAAAAGCGGTTCAAAATGTTAAATCCAGCTAGCACGCACAGGGTGAAAGCACTCGAGAATAGTTTAGGCCAGCGAAAATCCAGTGCAATGCAACAAATACCGATATGCGTAGTTTCCATTGGAGCGGAGCACAGAAGCAGAAGTATTTTGTCATATTTTCTAGATCCAAAAGTTTTACCGTGCCGGACATCGTGCAGAATGGTGCTTCGAATCCGCAGCCAGCTTCAACAGTGGTACGTCAAGCCCAGCAGCATTTGCCTTGCAGCGCTACCTGGCTGCTGGCACAATGCAGTTGCAGTTAATCATGGAAGTGGATTTGAGTTGGGTGCCAACAAAAGTGACCTGCGGAGAGCGGTCGCAGCGACCGGTGATACCGCTTGGGCGCGAGCGACGGTTCCAGATTGGATTTTGTTTCCCTGTACTTGACAGCGGAGATTTGCTCGATTTTGCAAGTTCCCGACTTGACTGTGGAAAGAAAAGCTGCTGCTTTTGGGTGCGCGGCTGGCGGTGGGCCGCCGCAACCCCGGCGAATACGCAGAAGCGCGGTTACTGGATGTCTGCGCTTGGACTGGGAGACATGAAGCACATGTCATGCGCTTGTTTACAAACATCCGTCCAGGATGACATGCGACATACCGAGACCAAAAACATACTCAAATGCTTGGTCTTCCTAGCAAATTTGATACGTTTATTCATGTTTCGCAGAAGCAAACGCATGCCTCAAAAACTGCATGCGGCGGCCACCAAATTTAGGTGCGAGAAACACGACAGGGAACAAACGAATCTCTGCGCTATTGTTTGCTGTAGTGGCCCAACACCATTTTTCATTCCTCATTGCGAAAGCTGAAATCAACAAAAATGCAAAACCGAAATATCAAACCACCGAAAACCAGCTATGTATCTTACTGAACTTCCAGCTCAATAAATCGCAAGTCACATAAGTCCGTATGTATCGCTGCCCGTACCACCACTACCACGATGACGACGACTGCTAGCCCTGCTGGTGGTAATCAGCATTGCATGTTGTGCTTCATGTTGTGACCAATATTCTTTGCATCATGCATGCAGTGACAACTCTCATTCTTTGGGTTGCTGCAGTGTCAACATCTCGGCAGGCACTTGTGCTCAAGGCAGGTCTGTGTGTGCTAAGATGTTGCTCTCAAGCTTCCCGCACTTTCTGCAGCTTAGACACGAACATCTGCCCAACTGGCAATATGTAATTCCATTGATGGACACAGTGCAGGCTGACGCAGAGACACACGTTCAGGAGGTCCGGAACCTTTGGATTGGAAACGGCGGTTGGGGTGGTAGGTGCATGCTTGCAGAAATACAAGCAAATGTGCAACTTGGAATTACTAGTATTCCCTAATTCGGGTCAACGAAAATGCTGTGCCATGCGTTGCCCGAGTCCAAAAGCCGGTTCAAACTTGACGGCTGCTAAGGAAGTCGTTACGCAGCCCTAGCTCGCACAACGGCCGAATCCCTCCCAGTGATCTCGTTAGGTGACGGGCTGGAAATCTGCAGGTTTGACGCCCCACGCAAAGACGGTTCCGTTGTCTTCGCCATATCCAGACATACCTGCATTCCTGAGATCTGTGCAGGGTCGATGTACTGCTTGATTTACAGTCAATATATGAGGAGCTGCGAAACACGAAGAAAGTCGTGTCAGATGCACGACTGATAACTCCAGCTGATCTCAATGCGGGTGGGCCTTCTAAGTCTGGAGAGAAATCTCTGGAACACGTCCCGCATCATCCTTTTATCCCCAATGCAACCCAGCATGATCAAGAACATGCTTTGCGCCACCTGCGTAACCTCGGAACCTTCAAGTAAGAAAATGCGCATCTGGGGGCTGCGTCAAGTTGGCGATCCCGCAATGCGCTCGCGAAATTAGATTCGTCGCGTACTGCACTCCATGACGGGGCCGAAATGCTCACAACTTCGTATGCGCATGGGCGAACTGGAACGGAAACCGTAGGCTGGGGGATCGTAGCATTATGTGGGCCACCAAGCCAAGCAAGACATGCCGATGCAGTGTAAGTAGGAGCGTCGAGAGCCGCGGAACATCGTAACTGTTAGCCGATCAGAACCACAGTGTTTACTTCATTGGCTACATAAGACTGAATGACCGAAACCCCCAAGCCGTCAAGCTGCACAATTCCAGGAACGTCGTCGCGAATGGTCTCATTACAGTTGGACTTCGTGAGCTGCAACCTGTAGTGATGCCTTAGAGCTGCCGGCAGGATCCTGCAAGTTCACTGACGTAACGGCATGCCCATGTCCCGATAGCCACAAAGTAGCAGAAAGCAATTGATTGAAACAAATGAACAAAGCGAATTCTCGTTTACACGGCTAACTGCATGCTTTCTTACTGGCATATCTCTTTCCAATATTCAATCAGTCTGCTACAGTACTATTTGCCTGTTTTTATCATCGCATTTTCATTGTCATAACTGATATTTCCATGTTCGTTCACTTTATGTTCTTGTATTCTGCCAAGGGCTCGAATGGCCGCAGCAGCGCGGAACTATCGGTAGCCTCAGTGCCCATGGAAGGCACGCCTTCGCCTGGTGCCGCGCTTGCGAGGCGGCATGCAAATCTTTGACAAGACCCTGACAGGCAAGACGATTACGTTGGACGTTGAGGCCAGTGGCACGTTCGACAATGTCAAGGCGAAGTCCCAAATGAAGGACCAGCAGCACCTGATCTGTGCTGGCAGGCAGTTTGAGGGCGGCCGTACTCTTTCGGATTACAACCTGCAGAAGGAATCGACCCTTCACTTGGCGCCGCACTTGCGAGGCGGCATGCAGATCTTTGTCAAGATCCTGACGCTCACCTTGGACGTTGGGGCCAGCGGCACGGTCGACAATGTCAAGGCACAGTCCCAAGATAAGGCAGGCATCCCGCCGACCAGCAGCACCTGATCTTTGCTGGCAGGCAGTTTGAGTGCGGTCGTGCTCTTTCGGATTATTACCTGCAGAAGGAATCGACCCTTCACTTGGCGCCGCACCTGCGAGGCGGCATGCAGATCTTTGTCAAGATCCTGACGCTCACCTTGGAATACAGAGTCCCACACAAAATTGGTCCCATACCTACACATCCACTTCATGTTGACGTCCTATGCCTCGGTCATCTCGGCTGAGAAGGCTTACCTTGAGCAGCTGTCAGTGGTGGACATCACCATGTCCGCTTTCGAGCCGGCAGCCATGATGGTCAAGTGCGATCTACGCCAGTGCAAATACATGGCCTGCTGCATGACGTACCATGGCGACGTCGTTCCGAAGGATGTGAATGCGGCATGGCGGCTACCATCGATGACCATCAACACCCGATGTACCATCCAATTTGTGGACTGGTGCCCCACCGGCTTCAAATGCGGGATTATCTACCAGTCGCTCACCGCGGTGCCCGGTGGTGTTTTAGCCAAGGTCATGCGTGAGTACACCACGATCTCGCACGGCACTGCCATCGCCGATGTGTTTTGCGAACCGATCACAAGTTTGACCTGATGTGCTCCAAGCTCGCCTTCGTCCACCACTACGTTGGAGAGGGTTTGGAAGAGGGCTCGTTCTCTGAGGCTTGCAGGGACTTGGCGGCCTTGGAGAAGGACTACGAAGAGGTTGGCATCGAAACGGCGCAGCTGAGGGCGAGAGAGGGGAAGAAGACTACGGCTACGAGTTCTGAGAGCCTCCTTGTTGAGCAGATGCTGGCCTAATAGGTTGGTCACCAGCATGGAACGATCACCCTGAAGGTGAATTGCCATGTTGAGTGTAAGTTTGTCTTTAGTGCAAGTAATTAGATTGTTGCTGTTTCTGCTGATGATCCCAGTCGCCTCGGAGAGGGCGCTGTGTCATCCCAGGGCTTTGTTCTTATGTGGGCATGAGATAGCTCCCTGGCCCAGGAGAAGACTCGTTCCACTACAGGGCGATCTCCGCACTGTCGTTTGATGTCTGTTTTGTGGCAGCTGCAATAGCACGGTTGCCAGGTTTTCCTGTAGCTTTTAAAGCTTCAGGGCTAAGGATTGCCCCTTGATTTTGATTGAGTTGGAGACGGCTTTTGCCTTCTACGGTGCCGGGTCACTCTCCACCATTGTTTAATCCCCTAAAGCTGGGTTTTGCAGATTTCTGCGCCAGGATTGAGAGGCGGGAGCTGTAAATACACGGGCGCCTGCCTTCCTGAGCGCATACTGCTAAACGTTCATTCTCACAGACCATCCATGAACCAAAACCTTCATGGTAAAAGCTGTCAATGTTGTTCCTGATTCCTTTCACCGTCTCTAGTTCCTGTTTGGCTCTAGTTCCAAGTTCTAGGAGCTGTGGCAAGAGGATTGTGAAAAGAACTTCCCTGTTCTGTTTAAGGTCACTGAAACAGATGTAGGGACCAAATGCGTGTTCAATGAATTTAAACCAACAAAGACACCACAAGCGAAGCAAGGAACGGGGAAGCGAAACAAATATTTTAAGCCAGTAAAAGCAAGCCTGCGTCGTTCATCCTTGTTGACTTTGTTGTATTTGGTTGGATTGATTACTGTTTTCTGCTTTCACCACCCAATAACTGGTTTGATCTGGCATCCTGGGTGCTGTGCCTAGTTGTAATGAAACAAACACAACGTGGAAACACGATAGCGTGGTTTGTTTCATTGCAGTAAATTCAGCACTGAAAAAGAGGGGAACGAAAGTGCGGGTTTCAATGCAGCGAGGTCGCTCCTCACGTACCAATTCATTTTGACACAGGCTTTCGCCCCTTCATTTTCCGCGTGTATCTGTTGAGATTAGTTGTTTCATTCCCTTGTTTGTTCTCCTTGTTTGTTTTGCCATTGTGGTTACGCAAAACTGAGGCGTGCAAAAGAGCCATAGAAAACACGGCAGCGAAACAAAGAAAGGAAGGGATGCCACAACTCTGTTCGTTGGTATTTTTCTGCCATCTAGTTCCAATTGTGTTTTGCTTGATTAGAATATTATTCCTATTGGGCCAGCTTTCATATAATCAAGCCGGGTTAAATGAAGCAATGTTGTTAAAACAAATGCAGGCTTTTGTGTCGTTTGATTTGCTGCATGTTTAATTACTAGGCTGTTCAGTAACCCAATGGGAAAAAGTATATACTTTTCCCAGAAATAGGAACCCAGAACCTGAAAGTAAGGATGTGTACCACTGAACAGCCTGGATTACAAGAAGGGCACACACGGATAAACTGCAAACTTATGAGCAAAAGCTGTGCCTTTTTCATTACATTGCATTCAGTAAATTTTCGCACTTAGTTTTAGCCTTTCTCTTTCTCTTTCTTTAAATATCTTAAATGCAATGCAATGAGGGGAGCAAAGCGTGTCTTAAAGTAAATGAAGGAACGAAGTTTATTCAGGCCTCGACAACAATCAAATTTGGGTGATCCTTCAATCCTAAAACCCACAGTCCCGGAACCCGGCAGCTAGACTTTACACCCGAAACTCAACTCTGAACTGGTAGCTCCGATTTTGGATCTTCATGGTGGCTGCGAGTTTGGATCTTCCCGGTAGCTCCGATCCTGGTAGCTCCGATTTTGCATCTTCCTAGTAGTTCCGATACTGCATTAGCTCCGATTTTGCCTCTTCCTGGTAGCTCGGATGTTGCACTTTCCTGGTAGCGCCGATATTGCATCTTCCCAGTAGCCTCGATTATGGATCTTCCCGGTAGCTCGGAATTGCATGTTCTTGGTAGCAGCTGCCAGTTGTGCATCTTCCTGGCAGCTCCGATTTTGCATCTTTCGGGTAGGTAGCTACCCACCCGGAAGATGCAAGAACCGAGCTACCAGGAAGATTCTGCGGGTCCCTGGAACCAAAAGAAACAAGGCCTGAATCTTTCTGGTAACAGCTGGTACCAGGAACCAGGAACATGTTGGGGCTTAATATAGCTCAAAGGCCGAACTCCCGGAGTCGCGGGGTAGGGGGGGGTGGGGGAACCAGGAAGATTCGAAAGGTTGTCGCTGCCCGAGCTTGGGGGCTTTATGTTAACCTGCCGACTCGGATAACAAAAACCGTTTTAATCTTCCAGGTACCCCGCCCTACCTCCCAAACCCAGGATTTCCGTTTTGGACCCCCGAATCTTACTGGTAGGAACCTTCAAGGACCATGGCTACCCCGGCACACGCATTAATGCACTATGGGTGGCCCCCCCACGGAATCACCAATTATTTCACCATAGTAGTTCAGCGGTCATCTGGAAGAAGAGATGGAAAATAAAAATAATAAATAATACTAACAAAAATAATGATACTGCACCGGGGGCGGTAACATAATGTTGACCTAGGATTAATAATCCCCCTACGATTAAAGGCGGCCTGCGGGCGGCTCCGGCCCCAATCTGTACTACTTTAAAGGCAGCACCCAAATAAGGATCGTTTTTTTGCAGAAAACCCCCACGATTAAAGGCAACACCGTCTGGGGATCTAAAATTTCAAAAAGTGTTTCGAAGACTACTTTTAAAGGGGGCAAGACTACATTTAAAGGGCGTCTTGTCCTCTTTCAAGCGGTTCTTTCAAGGGGTAGCTTTCAAGGTTCAGGGTAGTTTTGTTCGCACTTTTGAAGTTGTGCTGCACAAGTGCTTTTTAGGTCCGATTTCTTCGTTTTGCACAGGTCCACCAAAGCCTCCAAAGCAATGATTTCAAGATTAATCGCTGTGTTGTTCCAGGCCCCCAAACAAGCTTTCTGAGCCATCCCTAGCAACGGTGTGTCACCCACGATTAATCAACGACCCACGATTAATCAACTCGGGTGGCCGATCACAACATCTTTTACGGGCTCACTGTCACTACTACTACTACTACTACGACGACGACGACGACGACGACTCCTCCTACTCCTACTCCTACTCCTACTCCTACTCCTACTCCTACTCCTACTGCTACTGCTACTGCTACTGCTACTGCTACTGCTACTGCTACTGCTACTGCTACTGCTACTGCTACTGCTACTGCTACTGCCACTGCCACTGCCACTGCCACTGCCACTGCCACTGCCACTGCCACTGCTACTACTGCTGCTACTACGACTACTACGACTACTACTACTACTACTACTACTACTACTACTACTACTACTACTACTACTACTACTAGCACCACTGTTTACTGCAATTTGGCTTCACGGGATTATTTGGGGGTCTGTGATCCTGTGGGGGGCCTGCGACCTTGACAACCTTGAAGGGGGGGGGGGGCGGGGGGGGGGGGTTATTAATCAGGGGTCAACATTAATAATAAAGGCCCTCAAAAGGCTTCTCATTATTTGTTCGCGTGATTCCTGCCCCTCCATGTATGCGGAGAGACGGAGCGAGGTACAACCATGCTTGTTCGTTTGCGTGTACGGACCGAAAAGGGAAGTGTGTGTGCGTGTGTCATGCGCACGCATTCATAAAATTCGCCCTGGCATGCAATGGGCTTGGGATACTTAGGATGCTCCGACACCCTGCCCTGCGGCTGGGGGCATCGCCCACTGCAGGAAAACCATGCTTGCCCAAGCCTAGCCTGTTGCCTGAAGTTCTGCAACCCCATGCACGCGAAGGCATCGCTAAGCCCACCAGCGCAGCTGAGGTGCCCATAATGGGACAGGCCAGGTAATCCGCTTGAAACACAGACTTGTTTGACGGGACAAGTCCACAGACTCTGGACTTCCTTAGCTTTGACAAGCAACCACTTGAAGCACAGACCTGCTGGGGATCTACACGGGGCCAGGACCTGTCAAATGAGCCTGGCTTCTGCAAGAACTTGAACACATCCCGTGTGGTCCTCCGTGTTCGTAAACCCTGGCTGACAGGAGATGCACTCCACATTGCCGCGGCCAAGGCTTATGCTCGCGATCGGGCAGATCTCACATCGAGTAAAGCCAAACGAGTCCTGCGAGGCGGGCCCGTGGTCCGGAAATTCAATCTGCACAGCAACCCACACATGCCTCCGAACTCTCCAGGCTCGAAGCTATCAAGCCCTGAGCCTCGAACCGCGTCCTCTGTCCTGAACCTCAAAAACTCTACAACCTTTCAGTTCTGGGCTCCTTGAAACGTCCGGCATCACAGGGCTCACAGCTGCTGTTCTCGTGCAACTCGAATCCCGGTGGGCACTGGCAACCAGTGTCAATGTCGGGACGGCAGATCTGGCGAGCAGGCTTTAGGGTTGCAGTCCGGGGTCGGCATAGTAGATACAAGCAGAGTATACTACGTAGTATCCTTCGTCTCCAGAAGCCCCACATGTTGCTACATCGATGCAGTAGGTCATGCGCCTCAACGGGATTGGATCGGTGCCTCAGCAATAGGCCTACACTGCATCTAGGATGCACAAGGCGCATCATCGAAGTGCTACATCTACATCGGCTACAAGTACGTAAGCACAAACTTCTATTCATCCCTTGACCTTCGTGCAGAGAACTTCTTCGCCGGAGACATTGCCAAGCAACATACCAGTGCCTGCAATTCTCGAAACCTTGTCTCCTAACTCCCGATCAGCCAGCACCCGGCCTCCTTGTGGTACGCGACCACGTCTGACAAGGTCTGGTCGACTCCATTGCCTTTAGGTTGAGTGCCTCCGAACACCAGTATCTGACGAGCATCTGGAACGAACACCTGGGAAGAGTGCTTACAGTGCTTACAACAATTTTGAAATGGCGGCACATCGGCATGCATTCACGCGCGCATATACGTGCGCCTATGTCGGTTTAGGGGGATTGTGTTCAGGTCAAGCGCGAGATATTGGGCCTGGGATTCGGATACAAAGCCAAGTACAAGTAGGCACCGCAAGAAAGGCGCCATGTTCTACTCCGACTCTACTCCGCACTGACGCCTCAAAAGCAGGCTTGGGGCGAGCTTGAAGTTGAGATCGATTTGAAGAGGCACTGAGCCTACATGGCCAGATGCAGTACTCATGACTGCCCTTGCAACGACGTGATCACTTTCGCGATCTACGACTTGCTGGGATCTCTGCAGGGTCCCGGAAAGCATCAGGAAGCTGTCGTGTAATTCTGCTGTGCAAGGTCGTGTGTCGGCACCAGCTACTAGCGAATCGCTATTTTCATTGTGCTGTCACGGAAATCGCTTCGGATGTTGCAACCAGTACGGCTCAGTCTCAGGTGCTTGTTTGTTCGTGGCATTTGGGCGCACTCGAATTTGCAGGCTGGGGTGCGGCGAGCTATTGGAAAACAAACTCCAGTTCGCAGGTGCCGCAGGGCTTTTTTTCAGCAGAATGTTTGGGCATTCAATTTTGGTGTCCTTTCTCGTGACTTGCTATCGGGAACTCCATTTTGCAGCGCACCGTCTTGCAAGCCAGTGGGCAACATCAATTAGCCGGATGCCAACCCCAGAGTTGACTTCGATGCAAATGGAAGGTTAGACTGGCGCATTAAGTCAGTCTTGTTTCCTGGCTGAGGCTGCCAGCAATTGAATGGCCGAGTTCACACTCAAGCTTGAACCCCAAGAAGCCCAGGCTTGTGAAAGCCTAACTCCAGCCCAGTAATCTTCAAAATGGTGTCAAGATTCTGCCGTGAAGTCTGTCCGCACATAGCCCATCTTTCTTGCTCCACCAAACACTGTGGTAGTGTTTGCCTTTCCCCACTTCAATTTTGGAGGTTAGGGTGCAGACTTGGAGACTTATACTGCGGGTACGGGGCCAACATCCAGAAGTCTTCACAAAACTGATCTTCCCAGTCTGGTTTACAGCACTACGACAAGGCCTTCTTGGCCTATTGTCAGCTCATTGAAGTCGAAATCCGTAACGGTCGCAGCATTCATCCGCGCATAACAACAGGGCAGTGAGGGACTTAACTTGCCGCGAGAAAGCCTAGGGGCAAAGTGGTACAGTCTTGGGAAGAAGTTGGGATTTCGTGTTCGATTGAGAGATGCCTGCACGTCGATCTCCCAGATATCCTCTGCAATAACCAGCATGGCCCCTGCTCCTGGCTCCCACGCTGCCGAATAACCTGGGGTTCGCAGGCTGCGCTTTAGTCCGGCGACTGCAGACAAATCTGCATCACAAGGAACTGTTGAATCTCAACGAGGACACTTTCAACCTTGTGCGATCGACAGTTAAGATCCAAATTCTCAAGTTGCCGACCCGGATTCATGAGATGGAGGCCTGATTGTTCATTCATGGTATTCAATGTGCTGTACTCTTCGGTGCTACTAGCTGTCAGTGCCAATGCATAGACCCAGGAACAAGCGGGGTCACTTTTTGGGGAATCCCTGTGCGCTGAACCGAGCCTAGAATGCCGCCATTCTGTTGCATAACATACAAACAGTCAGAACACTCTGTGTGCGTGAGCAACGGCTTCGAGGAGATCGGAACAGAACAATGGACCATAACAGAAGTTGCCGTCAAACACTTTGAGACAATTCATGCGTAGTCATTCGGCAGTACATGGCGAATGGATTTGCAAATTTTGGGCGGGAGTCCTGGAGCAAACGGCTACAAAAGACAGAGGATGCTACGCAAAGATTAGCATTGGATGAGCGCTACTGAGCCAGCGACAATGACAGGATGGAAGACGGATCCCGGCAAACGACTATGGGTTTAGCTGAAGCTTGTGAGTTTTGTGTTGTGGATAAAAGGTATAAGGGTTCGAGTCGACAAGGGCTTAGGGAGGATTTGGGGTGTAGGTTCATTAGGGTTGACGGTTTTTTGTTCTGCTTCAGGCTTAAAGCCGCATTTAGGCGGGGTTCAGGGTGTAGGGTTTCAAGTACAGGTTAAGGATGGTTAAGGCTAATAAAAACAGGAGCAACGTGCTACATAGTAGGGTTTATGGCTTGCGTGTGACCGACCCCTGGCCGCCCCCCAAGCACCACCCCGACCCCTCTGCGTGCACGTTCGCCCCTGCCCCCCACCCCTGCCAGACCATACCGTTGGGGGGGGCCCTGGGAACGCCAGACGCCTGACCACAGAGGGAATGATTTCTTTCTTTAACCACGGTTACATTCATTCAAACGTGCGTGTGCCGGTCCTTTCAGTCGCTCAGTCTTCGGTCAATCGCTATCAGACAATCTGTCTGCCTGTCTGTCTGTTCGTCGGTCTTTCCCTGTTGTGCAAATGCACTCATGCAAGCATTGTACATCACACTTTAACCGTTAACCTTTCGTAACATGTGGGAAATGTACCCGTTATTATGCACCTACATACACACATGGGCAGAAAAAACAAAAACGGTGTGTGTTTAATTAAGCTTTTATGTTTCATGTGACATTTTTCGAAAGCATGTCGAATTCACGCGCCGTTCCCACCGGGACTTCTTGCACAAACACCGTCATTCGGCTGTGGTGATCGTCCTCAATCCTAGACCTCATGAACGGCGCATCCAAGGCTGGCTGGAGTGAGTGCTTCATTCGAATGCCTACATCGAGCTCCCCAACCGTCCTGCAATCCGGTTTCGATTTGGGGTTGGGAGGCCGGCACTGTTGTTTTAGCTGTGCATGCGATATGCAGAATACACTGTCCGAATGTCATTGGGGCGCACAATCTTGCAATCCTTGAAATGAAACTGGTCGTCGTCGATTTGCAAACCGCAAAGTTCATGACATGCTGAATTTACCTTGTTCGAAATATCCTATTAAGCCTGCAAAACCCTTGAAACAAGTTCGCCGAGGCCGAGGACGGTACGGCTTGGAGAATACATGGTTGGCTGCATCTCCGGGGCAAGCAGCTTGCTCCAGAGGTTGGCCTTCGCGGAATCGACAGCCAAACCACAGCAACGGTCCGGTCTGGTACTTGCCGGGATTGCTCACTTTCGGTGCCCCCTCGGCACCCTCCACCTAATTACTCTCCGTTGCGACAGGGTTGTACGCTAGTATGACGTATGTATAATTATGTGGGCGCTTTATCGCTTTATGATTTGTGGCTGTGCCCGTGACCGCACTGCCGAGTTTGCGAGCGCACGGCTGAATAACTTTCCGGATCCTGCCGGTAATAAGCATGTTACAGGCATATGCTAACGTCCTGGCCAAATCGCCCTTCCCCCATGAAAACGCAGGATTTCAGTACTCATGGTTAAGTCCTGCGTTGGTCCTTCCCCAAGATCAGTTCAGCCGGGTGATGACAAAGAAGCTGACATATTGATTGTGGAAAGCAGAGAATTCCACTTAACTTTTGGTCACCAAAGCACACGTGCTCCCAATCAACTATCGAAGCAGAGAAATGCTGTAGCAGCAAAAAATGGTTGCAGGAGCTCGATGCAAAGTATAAGACCGTTGGTTTGACTACACAACGAAGAAGGGGGACCTCTACCTCCCCCTCCCTAGGCACAAGCGGTCTTTTGGTACACCTTGCAGAACAGGTCCAAAGCAGTCAAGCTGCGATGTGAAACAAAGTTGGCATGTGTCCTAAAAGTTGTGGGCAAATCACACCCCCCCTCGATGCAATGCTCACACGTAAACGGGAGCAGAAAGCAGGAAGACATCCGTCGCATTCAAGAAATTATACCGGGAACTCCGAATGGACCTGTTATGCAGGCCCTGAGATTTTTATTGCTCTATGGGTCGGTCGGCTTGGTAAGTTATATGAGTGATTGCTTCCCAGTCAGGCTGAAACGACGGTTTGGACAGGCACCGAGTAGGGCTCCGGCGAGTGCGCCGGAGCTTGGGACGAAAGATGATCGTGAGTAACCAAAACCATCGAACGAAGCTCCGGATCCAACACCGCCGGTCCCAAAGGCTACAGGTGGAAGCCGAAACAACAAGAAAAACACATTTGGAGAACACGGCTGTGCTGGAAAAAGGGGCTGCGAAGCCGAAGACAGAGATGAAAGCCAGTTCCATATGGGAAAGATTTTTCGTGAATCTGGCCAATGCTGAAACCAACTTCAGGTGTCCTGATATCGCATATATATATATATATAGGATATTAATATCTTTTACTGCATATACCCAAGCACACAATATGTTGATTCTGATGCCTAACCGGTTGTCCAAGGAGGATGTGATCCCAAGGTATACAATGTCAGTGTATGCTACGTGTCGGGTACGAGGTCTCTCCACCCGAACGTACATTAACCTGCCGGGTTTGACGTGTCTTGACCGAGCATTCGTGCATATCTCTTAACATCAGGGAAAAATGGCCTTCCTGCGCATGTCGGCAAAGCCACGAAAGGGTGAACCTGCTCTGGCACCGGGCCTTGAGCTGCATCTCGCGCGTGCTACTTGCAAGCGCTGTTCCTCCAGCAAGGCATTCGTGCAGGTGTGTCGTGCTTTCACGACTTGGACGGAAGTGCTGGCTGGACGACTTGCGCAGCATTGCGCACCTGCGGGATCCTTCGCCTGACCAAAAGTGGAGCAACTCGTGGAAGCAAAGATGAAGGCAGCCGTTTTGGGCCGAGCATGATGCCCAAACATCACTACCACGCTGGGCATTGAACCCGCGATTGCTACTGCTATATATCACCATCATCAATATCAGAAGCGGCTGCATCATATCAACAATATGTCCAACACCTGCCACATCATCCTGCTGCTCTCTTTTCCTGACCCTATGAAAAGAAGCTATACTTCTTCTTTAGTTTGCCCTCGCAAGTTATTGACTTCTGACAAAGCTTCATATCACAGAAAAGACGCTATGTGTATGTTATTCACTCCCCCGCGCATGTTGTCGTGCTGCTTTCGGCCAAGCCTGGAGCTACCTTCGACTGAACGTCGTCGCAGACACAGCGACAGAGAAAAAAAGCGCGATGTGCTGGGGATCCGTGGTTCACTGAGTATGGTGGGGCATCCCTGTCGGTAATGACTTTGCTGCCGACACTTCACACCCCAAGCCAGACCCCAGAGGCCAATGGACATGCTTAAGCTCGCACCACTCGGTGTTACTAGACAGGTGGAAGCAACTACCATCGGCATGGGTATTGCAAAGGAAGCACAAAGTAGCGAGGAAGTACAGATAGCTTACAGCAAACCATCATGACCGGAGTCACCCAGGAACATGTGGCTGAGCTGCTGCAGAGCCAACATCCGTTCCTTCGGGATTGCCACCTGACGATGCCCAAGCCGTTGAGCAAGGCTTTGCAGACACAGGAATGAGCTTTTTTCTCCACGGCAAGGAGGCTTCGACAGAAGCCAAACTGGCATCTGCAATGCCGTTCCTGTGCAAGAGTGATGTGGTGTTTTGCAACCATCCTATCGCTCCGACTTTCGAATGTGGCTGTGGAGCGGCTTTGTTTCTGCAGCGTTCATGCAATTCTGCATTGTTGGCATGCACGACTTCTTCCGAAAGAGCTGCTGACAGACTTGTTGCAGCCAGTGCTGCACAGATCAGGAGCAGGCTATTTCTATGACTTGCTGCTCCCAGACATGATTCTGAATCAAAGCTGCGAGCTGTGCTTCTTCGTGAGCTGTATGGGATCCTCCAGGCAGAGGGCCAGGGCCAGGCAGATGTTGGAAACATCCACATGCAACGTCTTCAAGCTCAAGTCGTAGGCCTCCATATCGGAGGGCTGGAGCTGGGATTGATAGTTGGGAGGTTGTCGAACTTCGTCTGCAACTGGCAAACCAGGGTGTTTTCCATGGACTGCACCGGCCGAGCTTTGCGAAGCTTCTCCGAAGATTGCAGCTCGTAAAAACCGCTCGGGGCGGGTGGGCTGCACGTGCTCGAGGCCCCGAACTTCGTGCACGCAACTCTCGTTTCAGGATTTGAAGGCTGGGGGTTTGGGATTACAGGAATTGTCTCTGTAGGGTTTGAGGGTTGAGGGTTTTAAGGGCTTCGGTTTCAAGCTGTCAATAAAGGAAGCAAGGTTGCGAGTAGCCTGTCAAGTTCCGTACAAAGCAAACGACACAGGCTCCAAGAACACAACCCGAAGTACTTCACAAGGCTGCATTTGCGCCTCGCGAAAATGCGCATGGGTCTTACTATGGTGGCCGTTCTGGTTGTGGACTTATAAGCCCGGCTATAATTACTTATCGTTACGTTTTTTCCCCAGAGTCATCGCAGGACTTACGAGTTTACTTACGCAGGACTTACGAATAGCGATCTGCAGGGACTTTCCTGGCCATTTTGCGAGGACTTTACAAGGGTTATTTTGGTTCATTGCGGTGGCTATCTTGGCTCATGCGGATCGACAACAGTTCTCACTAGGTAGAGTTTCACTCAGGAGCCAGTAAGGGCCACTTTTGGAAGCCACGATGCCATCTTAGATTCCCCTTGCTGAGCCTTGCTGCATGTGCTTTACCTGCTGCCATGGAGCCTTGGCAGGCGGCGGCTGGGCTGGCTGCGGCCGATGCACGCTGTGGCTCCTTCATGCTGCTGGTAGGTTCCGGCCGTCTGCCACTGCGGGCACCATCCCCGTGTCCACGTCTGGCTCGCCTACATCGCACATGCAGCCCTTTGCTGGGCAGCCAGGACAGCTGGCAGGCTGGCGGTTTATGGGGTCAAGGTTCCCCCGCGATGGCTTGCCACGGCTGTGTCACATGGAAAGCGTCCTTTATGATGGAGACTTGGGACAGCTTCTGCTGCGGCACTTTCTGCAAAGCCCCCAATGGCAGCAAACCAAGCTCGTTCTTCTGGAAGTGATCGTTCGCAAACAGCAAGCCGTTGTTGAAGGGCTTCACATCCATGTCCCCAAACCTCATGCAACGAGCAAATAAAGCAAGTTTATACTAAAGCAAACGTATTGCCCTAAAATAACCTCGCCTGTCTGAGCTTACCCAACTCTACATGTTCCCAAAACAACCAAGAAGCTCCGCATACTTCTGGTATAACAGACGCTGACCCCAGTTCTGGCCATCTCCTTTTAGAAGCTGTCGGCGTCGCAGCTTCACCAAAGTCTCGTCGCTGATCAGCTTGAGGACGGCCTTGGTCCACTTTCTCAAGTTCTTCAGGCCCAGCACCATCTCTACTCCTTGCCCTCGCGGTCTTTCAGCTCCTTCCCAACCAAGTACTGAGTCTCTGGTACTTGGCAAAGGCCAACTGCTCTCGGCCTTCAGCAGCTGCTCCTAACATGTTTTTCGCTTTCAGCTTGTCGATGTCGTTTTTGCGCAGCAGCCTCGAAAACCATCCACAACACCCCCCTTTCGGGGCCCGACCCTCTCGCATCGTTGGCAGGCGAGCTCTTGCACTCGGTATTATATTAGTATATTAATCTTCACCGAGCTGTGTTGCCGTGCGACAGCACGACCAATGCCTTCCAGGTATTTCCTCGGATCGAAGTTCTCGCAGACTGCAGAGTGAACCGCGAAGTCACCGATGCTCTTGATGTAGGCCTTGAGAGGCGACCTCAGCTAGATCCGCCTTCTGTTGGGACGCGGTAATCCGAGCGATCGCCATGGCCACCTCGATTTCATTCAGCAACTTGCCGATGGCCAGGTCCACATCCGCCGCCAGCACCTGCGAGCTCCAGCCTTCCTTCAAGATCCCCCGCCTGAAGTCACCGCAAAGTTCATCAAGCGATCCCATGCAAGCCCAGACTTCGGCGCACAGTCCGCCTCCATGGCTTTCACACAGGCTGTTGTATGGCTCCAGGACACAGTGCACCACCGCTCCTTGCCGCTCGGCATCGCCAGCTTGGGCTTCGCTCTCCTCGCCCAGCTTGTTCGCTTCGATTTAATGCTTCCGGAGGTCATCATCTCTTGGCAGTTCGAGTGCGACACTTTCGCGAAGCTTGCGACTGTCGAAGCCGACTTATCTGCAGACATCCTTGTGCACACAAAGAACCGTGGAGGACAGATGGTACATGCGTTGAAA